CTAATTCACTGGTCCTTTGGCAACTCTTGTCCAGCCGACTTGTTTCTTGTTGGTGTCGTCCACCTGGTGTCATCTATTTTTGAATCGCTTTTTAATTTATTCTTGCCACTTTTTTATTAGCGGATCATTTTGATTGGTTCAACTGATTTATCAATACTAATTTCTTCTTGTTAGCATTGATAAATAGATTTATTAATTCGAATTCTGGTTTTTAAGAAGCTCAAGAAGCTTTCAAATTCGCTATGAATCCATTCGACAGACAACTGCATTTTTCATTTTTAATCCATATTTTAAAAAATTTTATATTTATTTTATATTTCAGAAAATTAGGAATGAAATAAAATGTCAGCAGATCGTATATTCGTCGTTACTGGCGCAAATAAAGGAATCGGTTATGCAATAGTGAAAGGTTTGGCGCAACAACTGTCGAATGGAGTGATTTATTTAACGTCGCGAAATGAGAAACTTGGAAAGGAATCATTTGCGAAAATTGTCTCTGAATTAGACGACAAAAAAAAGCACAAAATCCGTTATCACCAACTTGATATCACTGATCGTAAGAGCATTGATAATTTTGCAGTTTATTTAAAAAAAGAACACGACGGTTTCGATGTTCTTATTAATAATGCTGCATTTGCATTCAACCATAATGCCAGTGAGCCAGCCGAATTAAAAGCTCGAATTACGATTGGTACCAATTACTATGGTACGAAACAGGTTTGTGATATACTATTTCCACTAATTCGAAGTGGAGGGAGAGTGGTGAATGTATGTAGTCAAATGGGTGTTCTTGATCATCGCTATAGTGATGAAGTAATCAGAAGGTTTACAGATCCAAACCTTACAACAGCCGACATTGACAACATTATCAAAGATTATGAGCAAGCTTGCATTCATAATAATCGTCGTGAGAAAGGTTTTCCAGAATCGGCATATTCCATCTCAAAAGCAGTTATGATTGCGTTAACATTTATTCAAGCAAAGGAATTGGCTGCAAGGAATATTATTGTGAATGCTTGTTGTCCTGGTTATGTTAAAACTGATATGACAAGTCATAAAGGTACATTAACGATAGAAGAAGGTGCTGTAACACCGATCTATCTGGCTACACTTCAAGAAAATGAACCAAATGGTGAATTTATTTATTTATGTAAACCAATTAACTGGGTTAGCAAACGTCCTCAGTGATTGTCACATCGGAAATATTTTTTGTGGTTTATGCAATTTAAAAATGCTTTTCTTATTCTCAGATCTATTTTTCAGATTTTCAACTTTATTTTTGAATGTTTTTAATTATCAATTTGTGAAATTCAGTTAAATTTCCAGTTCACTTTATTAATTCAGGTTCACAGTGAATTGCTTTTTTCTCAAGTTGAATTTATATATATTTGGTATAAATTTTCGATTACGTTAAAATATAGCCCACATTATCAGTTCTTCTTTTAGTATCTCGCACCACTGTTGGTTTGAGTCTCCACTGACAATACTACAATGTTTTCGCTATCATCGTGCGAACATGGTTGATTTGCATTGGCACCGTGTACGATATTTAATCGTCTCATCATCAACTGTGAAACATCTATGACTACGTTCTTCATATGGTGATAGTAAAAAGTAATTATCTGAAGGCAAAACCGAATCCCGACCTCGGCAGGAATCGAACTTCTTCGGTTCTCTACACCCACGCGTTATTTCCCTTATTCCCATATAGCCTGTGAAACAAGCGGGCTTAAGCGGTAATTCAAATGAAACATTTAGAAATATACTTTTCAGCTGTTTTTAAGTGTCTTTGAATGTCTTACGATAATATACAAAATATATGTTCAATATATAACATCTGCCTTTCCAGTGAGATCCATGGGTGCGATCTACCCGCCTCAAATATGAGAATGTCGCATACTAGAGTTATGTTGGCTCGAACATCGTCGAGATTACCATGGGCAGCGTCAGATGTTGAGGAGCTGTCTGATAAGCTGGTCACTGGGACCAAGACAATCTGGTGTTAAAAGGGCCACGGAACCAAGATAATCTGGTGTTAAAAGGGCCACTGGAATCTTAAATCTTAAAATGGACGAGACAAGATAATCTGGAATTGATCGAGTGCTACTATTGCTACTATAATAATAAACTTAATGAAAGGAGTTTTCTGAAATGTGTAAAGGAGCTGTGGATGGAGAAAAGGCCCATATTCACATTAACTAAGAAGCAACTAAAAATCTCAACTGGAGATGGATCAACGCAAAGCAGAGCAGTTGACATGAGGCAAAAAATCATGAAAACAGACTGTAATTAGCCAACGAGGCCGACTATCGAGGAACAATGAAGCAATAGATAAAATATTTGAAGATGCAAATAGATACCAAAACTGGATGCGAAACGAGATCTAAAACCTGGAAACTGGTTCATCGTATGTCGTCGATGTACATCACGAAACCAACGGTGGGCAGAATATAAGTCTGAACGAAAATAATGATTGGGGGAATTAGGGGAATTCAATTAGTGGAATTTTCGTATGTAGGATGGTGTGGTGACTAATTTAATGATAACTTTCGCCAATCGGTGACAGCACCTTTCGGACAATAAAAATGCACGGGAAGGGATTTCATATCTGAAACTGTGAATCAACCAACGCAAATCGTCGACAAGATAATATAATCAGTAATCCAAAGACGTTGCATTTTCCACTTCCTTTCACTCCATTCCACGAATCTTTTATCATAACACAACGACTTGAAATAGCTGCAGCACCAGAGGAAAAACGGAAGCATTATCAAAGAAATGTCGCTTAAATGGAACGACGAAATAGCGACAATGCGACATATTAGCGACAAACAGCATTTGACAGTGTCAAAAATTTTAAGTTTAAGGGCAGATTTTGCGCATTCCTATGCGAGAATGGACAACTAGAGGAAATAAAAATATGTCAAATAAACTAACATTCCGTTTCGAAAATTTTCACTCATGAATCTATGGTGAATAGTTAGGTCCACAGGACTCCCATTCACCATATCCGAGGTGCCAAACGCTCAATGCAAACACTTCTGGCTAGCTGCACTGTACCGCGTTTCCATCAACTGACATGAAACTGTTCAGCGAACGAGGAGAACTTGGGAATTTAGATAAAATTTTGTGCTGTTAAATTCGAAAAACGTCGAATTTAATGCAATTTGTTGACCACTAAACGACGACAACGCAAACGCGAGCAACGCATTTAGAAAACTGCGATGGGGGATTTCTTTTCTGATTTCGTTTAATTATTTTTTTGCTTTTTTTTATATTTTTAATGCAAACGGAAATAAAGTAAAATAAAATTAAAATAAAATTAAAATTGGATTTTTGAATTTTTCAAATTTTTCTTTTTTCAAAATAATTTTAATTCAAATTATTTAAATTAAAAGAAATTTTTCGAAAATATTTTTAAAAATAAAAAATTAAATAAAAATAGTTTAAAGTGTGGAAAAAAGAATATTTTTAATGTGAAATTAATTAATTTTGTTTTTCCAACGAAAATTTTCTCTTTCCAAATTATTTGCGAGAAAGCATCGACGTTTCCCTCTGTTCGGCGTTTCGCTTTTCTCTCATTTCTCCCATCGTTCTCTTTGCGAATAAATTATTTCAGAAAATGGCGAAAGGCTCGCAGAAACTCACAAAAGAAGATGAACTTCTTCTTCAAGTTGGTTTTTATGCGTTACGCGGCGGTTTTTCTCTAAATTATTCACTGCACCAAACTTGCATTGATCTTTTGATGAGTGCAAAAATTTGTTATCAAAATTATCACTCGAATGGCGCTGTGGATTTGTAGTTTCGTTTCTGCCACAAATGGCTGTTTGGTGAATGCATTTCATTTTCTTAGGCAGTTTAATCAGCCAAAAGGAGGAAGGGAATTGGAGTGCGAAGTTCGCCGATGTGTATATCGCATGTGAAAATGATTTGGTGAAAAAGTTCGAATTAAAAGTCTAAACTCAGAAAATGACATTGCGAGAAATTCGAGAGATATTGTCAGAGCTAACTTAATATAAGTTAATATCGGAAGTCAAAGGAGCTCTCTTGTCGCACAGACAAATACGCGGGCAGTCTTCGGGCGGTAGAGCTTATTTGGTTTAATAGAAAACTATTAAATGTAATGTGCGTTGTAATTTGGAAAATAAATAATTATTTGGAGATTAAGTAAATAATTGCAGGAATTTATGAACGGTCGTTGGTTAAAAATCGACTGGGGAATTAGGATTTTCTATGTCAGTATTTATGTCTGCTGAGATCGGATGTTCTCTGTTTATTAGAACGATTGAAAATGCAAAGTCTTTCAGTGTCAGTCCAGGTCTTAATTGGCCCTCCGTGTTTTAACTCCTCCCATCAAAGGGTTTTTCCAGTAACGAAAGATGTGTCAAATCTTGTGATGAGCGACGGAGAACGCCCCATTAGCAGCGAAGGTGGCGCTTTGTAATAGTAATAGTAATGAAGGTGGTATTTAAGCGGAGGTGGATGCAATATGAGACTTTATGCATTCGACGGACTCGTAAAATGTGTGCATGAGTGGTCAAAGGCAGATAGCATCCTTCGCTCTCATTGGCCATATTTGGCAGTCATATAGCAAAATCAGTGATAATAATAATCACGGATAAAAATAATTTCTTTAACTTTTTAAATTAATTTTTCTTGAAAAAAATTATGAAAAAATAACGGATCGGGTTCTGACGAGGAATACAAGAAAATCCAAATATTAAGAAATATCAGTCGTTTGCATTTAGAAAAGATAGAAACTATAGAAAAGATGAAGAGAGCTTTTTAAACAAAGACTGCTTGATAAACCTTTATAAAATTTCTCATTTTTTTAAAATGATTCGTATAAATGATGTAATAAGCAAAATCTTGAGGAATAACGTAGATTCATAAAATGAAATATGTGTGAGAAAAGATATGTGTAAGCAACAAAAAAGAAAAGAACTACAGAATACTTGTTTTACCCTCGTTTTGTCTTAAAATGTGAGTTTTTATTGTAGGATTTTTCTGCTGCAGTATCGGCCAAAGGTAGTGCTATTTTTTATGCAAATTCAACGGTGATTGCGGCTGCTCCGATTTATTTATTTCACGGGGTGCATCAAATGGAAATATCTAATTCGTGGATTGTTTGGATAATATCTACTCTGATCGCGTCTTATTTGATTACCTTCTCGTATAAGAATGTGAAACACGTTCTTAAACACAAGTTAGTCCTTTTCTTCCAAATTTATTAAATTCATTTTAGTTTGCTTTTCATCAGTTAGCTTCGCAACTTACTCGCAAATCAGTATTTAGAATATTTTGATTTTTCGAGTTTATTGTTATTGTTCCATGGTCTTTCATGATTATATTCATCAGAATTAACTGAAATCCTATGTCCTAAGAATTTTCCTTTTTTATTTTTATTGATTATTATTGTTCATATATCTATTTGTATTATTTTTCCATCGAGGAAGCGCATTTGGTAAAGTATCCAAATTTGACTTTACATATTCGGTTATTTATTCAATAATGTTGTAGCTTGGGCTTTCAAATAATTCGTCTTATAAAAGCGTTTTCTCAACCTTTTCTTCTTTTCATTGTGAATTAGTTTAAAGTACTTGAATTATTTGAAATATATTTTGTAACATTATTCATTAATTATTCATTATTATGAATATATCGAAGGTCCTTATGCACTTTTAACATCGTCATTTTTTTATTTTCAAGTTAAATATTTGTTGTTAGATAATTGCTTTAACAAAGATATTGAGCATTAAAATAATTTTGTTTGAATTGTTGTAAAAAATTTTTGTTGGTGAGAAGCTTCAATCTTTGCTTTTTTTTAGAATTGTTGTCAAAAGAAGTGAAGCTGTCACACGAGAAATGAACCGCAAATTGGCAGATGATAAAAAGATGTCCAAAAAAGAGAAAGATGAACGAATTTTATGGAAAAAGAATGAGGTTTTCCAATTAAGTCATTTTCTTTTTAATTTATGATTCAAAATTATTTTGAAAATTGAATTATTTTCGTGAAAAATCCAAAAAATTCAGGTTTTCTTATTCCTTCATTTTATTTATTTTTTACCAGAATTCATCTGTAGATTAAATTTTTATTAATTTTTTATTATCATAGTTACAATTTTTAGGTTGGAAATTATGAGGCGACAACATTCTCAATTTTTTGGAATAATATTTTATTTATATCACTTATTCTTTTCTTGTCTTTCTTCGTATTTGCCTCAGTTTCACCATTTTTCAACTGTGTTCTTTCAATGATTGGCGCATCGGGACTTGTCGCTCTTTTCTCCACTGCAAAATAATTTTGCTAAATTTAAATTCGAGATTCTGTCACTGTGAATCACATATTGTCTTGCTAATTGAATTTTGGTTTGTCCTGTTTATTCCTTTATTCTTTACATTTTAATATCACTGTTATTATAAGTAAATTATTATTAATATATGTTGTGGTTAATAAAAAACAAAAAAGCATTAATCAACAGTATCGTTATTTTTATCATGCAAATTAATTAAAATGGTATTTTACTTGGTATGATTTATGTTTATACTCAAATGCGCAGGTTATTCGCAACTGTTCAAAGTCTATTTTTCAAAATGAATAAATTTTTAACGCAATAAATCGTTTTAACCATTCCTTTAAAATATTATTGGCTTAGTTTTCAAAGGAGATTTTTAGATGTTTAGCTTACGTTTCTGTGGTTAAGAATTTGTATGATGGATATCATTAAGTATTCCTTTTGTTATATTGCACTTCCTAATCTGAGATTTCTTATTATAGGCTGGTAAATAAATTTGGGCATATCTTTTTTCATCTCTCCAAATCGCTCTTAAGGTATGCTTAGTGGTCGAGTTTCTCCAAGATTTGAAGAAGTATCAGATACAAGGAATCCGCCAAAGATGCTGCCGAATGGCGATGTTTATGGTGATGGGCGTTTAAAGGTTTTATTTTATCACTGCTCAAAGTTATTCAAATGGGAATTGACCAATAGTATTTCTTTGTGATTGCCATTTTTGATAATTGTCATTTTTAGAGACAAAAAGCCTCAGTGGGTTGTTGCTCAGTTCGGAGCACCATTACTCACCGCAGTAGTAAACATCACATCACCGAAAATTTGCGTGATGCTTGCGATATTTCTATCGCCAAGGGCCTCCCCGGAATATTTGTCTAGTGCGATAAGCCAACGGAGCGAGTCTAACCACTAATGGTGAAGGCTGTAAAGTCGTCTCTTTCACTTATTTCAAAAGCTCGCTTTCTTATTTAAAAAAGAAGGAATAGTTTTATAATTTGGCTGACTTCAATTAACTTTATAAGATCGGATACAGAATGAGATCGTTGAAGAGGTATTTGTCGATAGAAGTTCCCACCTTGGATTTTATTTTTAATGATTCTTAATCATGAGACAGGATTCGAATTTATAGCGGCTGGATGTAGAGGCAACAAATCACTCGACTATCCTGTAACATCTCTCTTAATATTTGTATTAATCTCTGGATTGACCTTTATAATTGATTTTTTATTATTTTTATATTACACCTAAAGTTTTTTGTGGCAGATTTTATTGAATTAGCCCGAAAATGCGTAAATATTTGAAATTTGAATTATGCCGAAATTTATATATTACCTATTATCCTATTCACCTATATCCACAAGTATCTCTAGTAAAATGTCCCTAGTGGAGTCGGACAAATTAGAAATGGGAGGTGCTGTTAAATGAAGATTTAAGAACTAATAAATTTATGAAGAATACTTTTTTTTTGTTTACTCAATTTACATTGGGCTAAGATGAGAACGCGTTATTTCGCTTCAGAAAATCATTTAAATTAAAAAGCCCATTTAAAATTTCATCCTCTAAAACAGTAGTTCTTGACCTTTTCTTCAGTAGGCATGACTTAATAATGACTTAATATTCTTTAACTCACAGGGCATTTTTCTTTAGAGTGCATTAAGAATGAATGCGACTTTTGAACTGTTTTATCATTTTTGCGGGGCGGAAAGGGGAAGGAAGAACAATTGTAGAAAAGGTTATTTCTCTTTATAAATTTTTTCTCTATAGATTCATCGTATTCCATTATGTACTACTGCATTGTGTACTGTCTCTCATGTTACTTCCCCAAGCTGTATATGGATGAAGCCGATAAATCATATAACGGAAAAGCTCCAGATCTACGACAAGTATACCATTTATAACAATCATTTTTTAACAATCATTTTATAGGAATCTTTTTCGTAGAATTTTCGAAATCATCACATACCATTTATGGTTTGGCTAACTCAATTCTAGAATTTTTCTCCAAAGAGAAATGATTGTTATAGTTTGTTGTTAAAATTTATTTTTTTAGCAGCGGTTTAATTCATTCGCAAGCTTTCCATGAAGATCGATACGTTATGGCACCGATCCGAGAAGGTGTTTATGGAAGAGCGAGAATCCGAGCTATAATTGAAGCAAAGAACAAGGCAATTGTTTTAATAAAAATAATAATTATTTTCATTTATTAACAAAAAGAAATTTGAAAAGAAAAATTATAAGAATCCAAAAAGTTTTTTACCACTTTTCAGGAAAACTTAATAGATACATATGTCAAAGTGCTTTTTATCGATGAAGGGAAAACGCAATGGCTTTCGTCAAAATGTCTTGCAAAAATGGATGAAACATTCGCCTTTCATCCTTGGCAAGCCATTGCAGTTTGTTTATTTAAAGTAATTATTTAAAGTCATATTTAAGATTATTGTTATTGTTTGCGATTTGTTTATTTATTTAACATCCAATTGTCTGCGAATGAATCTCTCGTCTTTTGTCGTAAATGATTTTCTATCAGTGGGCCTTTCATCTCATTCTGGTAATTAGTAGGAATAAGCCAAAGCAAAAATATTATCAGAAGAAATTTCTTCGTTTTGCTGCAGATAATCACAGTTTATTTCTTTTATCTGCTAAACATATTTTGGACTATATAAGCCTGCTTTTTTGTTGGCGGATGGGCGCTTGTAAAGTTTTTCTTTTCTTTTTCATCTATCTTTATCTTTCAGGTTAGTCCATTTCGAGATGGTCTAACAAATGAAAAGGATCTTAAATGGAGTGAAGAAGAGATATCAAGCTTGCGTAAAATTTTTAAAAAATTTGAACTTTTTCGTATCGAGGCAGTATTGAATAGTGTTCAGTGCAACGATTATCACGATCTGGTTAAGGTGATTTTGAAAAATTTTTCTTGTTATTTAATCAATCGTCCTATTAGCTGTCTGAAGTAGTTATATTATTTAATATTATATTATTTATGATTCCATTTTGAATGACAAGCTATTCCTATCAGTGAGTAGGAAACGAACCTTCAATTCAGCTTAAGCACTGGTGCTCCCATTTTATAAATGGATTATTCATTTCGGAAATTTTCAGACTAATTTATTAATTAAGGTTAACATATTTGGATTAGAATCAGAAAATGACGAAATGGGTTTTTCGATTGCCCATATGTTTGCACGTGAACAAGGAAATACTGTTAGACTGGATAGGAAGCTTTACGACGGTCTTTTTCAAAAAATATATTATCCTGTAAATCAGTTTTTTAATGTTTTTGCATAATTATTTTGAATTTTTGATTATTGTTCTTTATTTTGTTTCTCAGTTGATTTTACTTTGAGGATGAGGCTGAATTTTGCATAACTGATATTATGGGTCTTGAAACCTGGCAAAAAATCTTCCCTGAACAAAATACATTTGGAACTTTAGACAATTTGGAATTGAAGAAATTGGATTGGCTTGGAAATGAGATTGGTCGTGAGGTATTATCTCTTGATTTATGATTATTCTAGATTTTTGAACTTTTCATTTTCATTTTTTTATTTTTAGCTCCACTGATTCCCTTAAAAAGCAATTAGCAAACAAAGACAAATAAAAGCGAAGCAAAAGCAAACGCATATTTTTCCTATCCTAAATCTTTTTTTCTAAATCTTTCAGATACCGCTCGTCGATGTCGACTGGTTAAATGAACAAGGATTTTGTCATAAGGGCGAATATCTTGTGAATGTTGAAGGAAGGTCATTGTTTAATTTTTTTTCTCATTAAAAAAATACTTTCTATGTTGGATCGTCACTTCATAATCTTTGGGATAGTCTTGTAATTAAGGGCTTTTTTAGAAGTACTATTTCTCCTTACGAGTTTTATGCTCGTTTTTTGAAAAGTACACATTCGAGAGAAAATATTAGCGAAATTGAAGCTGTTAATGGCAATTCCGTTCAGTTTTCCTCAGAGGATGATGCAATGATTGCTGCAAATAATGTTTTAGTCGAATTGGCTGATGAGCTGAATTCATTTTATGGTCATCCAAGAAATCGACGAATAATTAATGCTCTACGTGTGTAAGTCATTTTTTCTGCTCAATGAGCTGAAATAAAAAATCATTTCAAAAAATTATTACTGTCGACTGTGAGCGAATCTACTAACTGCTCCGCTAAGATAAATATATAATAACAAATATTTCTATTAATATTATTTATATTATCTCGAATATTATATTTCTCGAAATTTCTGTAAATTTCGACTTCACATGGTAAGTTTTTTTAACTTTATTTTTTTTCTTTAATTTAATTTTTAATTTTTCTATTTTATCATTTTATTTTTATTTTCATTCCCAAATTCTAGCTCATTATCTTTGTCTTCGGCAAGAATAAATTTGTCATGTTATCGAAAATCTTGGTGGCTATTGTAGATCCACCTGTAATTCTATCCCCCAAGTAATTCTGCTTTCCTCGATGTAGTTCTCTGACGCTCATGATATTCCAACCCCGGTGGTACATAAATATACAATACGGGCGTAAATCTCCACTTTGATTGAGTAAAGAACCCATAAACGACTACATGGCCTATGCCCGTTTCAAAAGAAAATTCCTGTAATATCTCGATCATCAATAATATATTCTCCAATTTTATGCACAGATGACCACGAGAATGATAAGTTCTGTGCGGAACTTTAACTGCAAACAACATTGCTACCGAATATGACGTGGTCGTAATCGGGGGTGACTGAAATGCGCAGTACGCAGCCGTCATAAACTCTATAATTGGCAAATATGGCATCGGTACTCTGTAGCCAATGAGAAATGGCTTATCGACTTTGCTGAAGAGCATTTTTATTAGTAATACATGCTGCTTCTGACATTGAAGATGACATCTAGTCATATTGAACTCTCCAAATAACCGACACTCCAACCAGATTCATTATATTCAAGTCAATCACCGTTGGAAGAGTTCCATGCTATCAGATAGTCGTTCCTACCGCGGCGATCTTGAAAGAGGCAATTTTCATGGATCTGGAGGTTCGAGTCAAGATCCGCATAAAATTGACAATTCGCAAAAAATAGATCGATCTTTCAAGATCTTTCAACTATCCAAATTAAAAGATTGAGGACAATAAGCGCATTTCAAATCGAATTATTGATTGAGTATTGAAGCAACCCTATGATATAGGTAACAGCGACATCTCTGGATGAATACTGGTCCCAACTAAAGATCTTGAGGAATGTCTTCGAAATTCAGCCACTTCTATGCTAAGGTATAGGAAACAACTGTCCAATTGCCCAAAAAGAAATTATTCCGCCTTCGTAAAGCAATTGTAACTTTGTGAGTGCCTCTTAAGACTGTTAAGAATTACCTCTTAAGATGAAAGGTATTTTTTGAGGTTAAACTTAACGATCTATTATCCGGGCAAAGCTAATTCGCTTATCGAGCCATTGCTTACAACAGCGAACTGCCAACAAAAGAAGGAATAATCTCTTTCATCTTTGGCCAATAAAAATCCCAGAGATGATCTCCGGTTGAACTCTTCAAATTATCCCTTTTGTCTGTCGTTCTTTATAAGATTTCAACAAATGTAGACTTCTTCAACCTGTCTGGTGTTGAAAAACGAAATAATACTAGATGACTGGAACAAAGCCATTCTGTTTCCAATATCCAAGAAAGGTGACAAAGAATCAGCTTACTAGACTTCTCCTGAAAAATTGTTTTCCACTGGATAGACTTATGGCGGTACGAGATAACAGGATGCACCTTAACCAAGTTGGATTTAACTGGGACGCAGTTGTGTTCCAGAGAAAATTAGTATTTTTTAAACTTATAAATTTTGCCAGATTACAGGCATATGTCTGTGCACATGGGAAATAGAATAGACTCTTTCGTAATAAAAGCTGGTATCCTTCATAGCGTGCTTTTCTTTACAATGTTCAAATTTGCGATAGATTGGATAATAGATATTGCTTGACAATCAGAAGGTGTATTAGTCCAGTCCAGAGTATTATATCACAAATCTTGAATACGCTGTTGATATCCTTTCCGCTGACGGTTATGATGAAATCCAAATAATGCTAAATGCAGATATAATGTATTGACAACTGTAGCAAGAATCGGACTCAGGGTTATTGGAAATAAATAAATATATATATATAAGAAACTGATATATAAAATACCTATTTTTATCAATTTTATTCATTGCGGGTTGAGAAAATGCTCTAAATATCTCGAATCCACTTTATTTCCAAAGACCAAGGGAAAGATGATCTTGAGCAAGGGAAAGGGAAAGATGATGATCTTATAATTCGCAGAATGGTAACTATAAATTCTTACGGTGGCGAAGCCTTTATGGAACCGTCTTGAAATCACCATAAAGATGAAAGTCCTCATCCATTTGCCCGATCTCTTGCATAGTCGATGAGAGTGGAGGATATTTTCTTTTGATCACTCATTCTAATATACAAATGGCCAGCCCAGTGCTGTTAAAAAAAGAATGGGCTCTTTAGATTCCTAACATTTAGGTAAAATTTAAATGATTGCAAATTTACACTTAATTTTTATTTGTATCTCATCAACTACTTTTCAAATTCATGTCTTTGCAATTATCAGTTATTTACATGACAATTTTTGTAAAATTTAGCAAAGAGAATTTGGAACAAGGAATTCGAGCTTATGGAATTATTGAAATGGATGACGAGATAGCACAATTCACGGGTTGCTGGCAACGCATAGAAATTCTTGGGTTAAAGGTTAGATTTTCGATTTCGACCTGGAAAATTGTCTTACATTTTTTGTTTTATTGATTTCTTTTACCACCATTTATACCTGAAATCTTTGATTTTATATATGCTTTTTACAGGAAAGCGGACAAGATTCTGACTATTTTTGTCGAGTTCGTTTCATAGATTCAGGTGGAACTGATGTTAAACTTTTGTCTAGTGTCATTGAAATTCATCCTATGTTGGTCTTGTACTTTTTTATATATTTATACTTATTTATATTTATTAATTTTTTAAAAGCATATATGTTCGCATACATAATATTAGATAAGGATTTTTAGCGACATAGAATTCCTTCCTGGTTGATGGACGAATTTCAACAAATTAGTGGGTTTGGGTGGGGAAATTTTGTAGCTCTATAATTTATAACTACTGTTTAACATTTCTTCCAGTTATTTAAAATAGGCAAACTTCAGTAATATTAGCACAGCTGTTATCAATAGGATCTCAAATATTTGCTTACCATATTCCATGTCTTATTATATATATTTATATATCATTAATACATTTATTTGTCATACCTTCTATTCTGAAAAGAATCCTCTAATGTTACCAAGAGTTCTGTTTAATACAAAAGAGTATCTCCAATACAGAATTCTGTTTGTTCTGTTCATTTGGAAACATTTTGGAAAAATAGCAACATTTTGTCACTTTATTAATATTTTATTTTATGCTATATTTTTAGAGGCTTATTTGCCTTATTTAAATCAGTTTTCAATTTTTCTAAAAATTTGTAAATCAGTCTTTTTCTAAAAATTTTCATTTTAAAATTTCTCTTCAAAATTTTCTCTTTAGATGAATTTATTTTAGTCATTGCCTTCGTCCACCTTTGTGCCTTCAATTTTGTATGCATGGATTAAAACCGCGCGATTCTAATGATTGGTCGGAATCGGCTCGTAAATTTTTTTTCCGTGAACTGCGTGAAGATGTTCCAGTGGCTTTAAGCATCCTCGGTCATTTAAACAAGTGATTTTCAATTTTTTCAATGTCTATTCTTTTTCTGATGATTTATAAAAAGATCTTTGTTCTCTTCTTTCAGCCAAGTTGAAAGCAACCATTTCTCTTTATTTCATAGTCTAGTAAATTCTCAGGAGCCAACGATTTTGTTGCCCATATTGATATTCTGTCTTCTAGAGGAATAAATCTTTCGATTAAAAAAAATTCAGATTTCGCTAGTTACCCAAGTGTATTTCTAATAATGATTTTTCTTAATGATTGATTGTTGAATCACTTAATAGCAATTTCTTAGTTTTTTTGACTTCTCTCTCATTTTTTGTGAGTCTAGTTTCACACCATTTACACCTCAATCGGTTGAAAATCATTAGAAAGACGAGCATAGTTCCTCCAGTTATTTCAGTTAATTCCATTCTTGCCATTCTGTTTTTCTCTTCTTGATTTAAACTAGATGTTACTGGATAGGAATTTGTAAACTGCTGGAGGATAAGAATGAATATGAGAAATATTCTTTCGTTTAACGCTCCAAATTTCACAATATCCAGAAAGATAACTGAATTTTTCAGAAGTTCAATAAATCCAGACTTGTTATACGATTATTGCGCCTATCTAAGACCAAATGTCTTATTTGTCAATTTTGTTCAAGTAAGTTAATCGCGAATATTTCATAGAATATTGAATTTTAAAATTTTAGTACTTTTGGTAATTTTAAAGTATTATTTATTAAATTTTTTTCTTCTAAGAATCGAAAGTTTTCTATCATTTATTGAGATCTCACAGGATTTGTTAGAAAAAAATTTTTTATTTTTTTGATTTTTGTAAAATGTGTTGGTAAATCATTATTGAATTTTTATTTTAGGTGCGTGATGGTTCTAGCGATACTTTAGATGCTCGTTTAATCCGCGAAGAATTCGCTGTTCATTCTGCCGAAAGTCCTGTTGCTTTAGTTTAAATTTATTGGCCCAATTGGTTTCAAAATTTATACTTTTATTTACCTTTTTGCTTTTTGTTTACTGCTAAGAATGAATCGTAATTTGCAAATTATATTGAAGTTTAGGGGAAATTATTTTTTTAGTTTCAACTATTAGATACATTTTGTATGTCTTCCTTTTTTGTCTTTTTTTCGTTGCAGTTCAGAGGTACTAAAGAAATATTTGTTAAATAACACAAGCATTTTAGCATTTATTCTATTCTATTCGTAAACATTAGCGAAATATTTGAATGTAATCATATTTGAATGTAATGACAAAGGTAATATTAAAAATGGGAGTAGAGAAACAATTCTTTTAATTTATTTTTGAGAAAAGGGAAACAGTTGAACAATAAAAGAGAATATACACAGAGAAGAAATAATACCTCAGTTAGGTGACGTTGATGTGAAAGCAGGAAAAAGACTAGAGAGAGACCGGTGATTAAAGAGCAAGCACCATACAACCTATCGTCAATTCGAGTAGCTGCTCTTTTTACTGAACTGGACTAACATAAATCACTATCGGTACTATTTTCCCTGTTTTCATTAAATTTTATCATTTCATTTTTTTGGTCCATTTGTTGTTGTTATAAATTATTAATTATTATTATCCTTTGTTGTTAATTTGTTCGTTTATTATTTTATTTTAATTTTTTATTTATTTATCAAATGATCTCACAAACAAATAAACGGTACCTATGGAAAAAATTTTTTAACTTATAAACTTATAATGCGGAATGGCGATGAGATTAGACTTGCAACGTGCTTGGTGCGAGGATTCAGTTTTATAAAATAAAATGGCGAATAAGAAGGTGGAAGAGGAGTTAAAAAATGAATATTGAGAAATAAGCTAAAGAACAGCAAAGGCTTGCAAGCAATCTGAAAGCGAGAAAAGTGTTTGTCGCAGATTATTGTGAAAGTTTTAGCGAAAAAATTTTTTCAAAATTCAATTGAAAGGTTGGCTTGCGGATTCAAACGTTCCAATTCTGTTTTTTGGCTATAGCAATGCTTGTAGATGAAAAGACGTCGTGAGGACTGATGTGGAAAATTTTTAGATGGTTCGTAAATATTTGTCGGTTCCTCTCTGTTGTTGCTTGACAGCAGCAAACTTTCCGGTGCATCTTATTGACAGAAATAGCAGTAATTATTACTGCCCGAATCTGGACAACGCGTTCGCCGTTCAACGACTCACACATAAAAGGCAAATTAATTCATATGGCCACCAATATGGGGTCTGAGGCTACTAAGGATCGAGGAATGCGTGTTCGATTTGCATTACGGTGGGGTTTACACTTTCATGATTTGAGCCTATCTGTTAGATATTCCATTAGACCTCAGATCTGAAGACTTAGAACTTAGCGATGAATTTGCGATATGAATTTGATGTTGGTTAAAGGCTGAAAGCTAATACTATATCGTCTTGCACTCTATTTTCCCTCTCAACATTCTCTAATCTCCAATGTAAATGTAAACTCCAACAGCTGTTTTACCCAGTTTTATTAAGATGGTTCAAATATCCATTATTCCAATTATATTATATTTATTTACTTTTTGTAATACTCGAAGTATAAATTCATTGTGGAACTTGGAAGAAATATGCTATTGTCGACTTGGTTATGGTGCTTTTGTATATAATGATTATGGTTGTTGGTGTGGAATTGGTGGTTCAGGCAAACCAATGGATGGCATCGACAGGTAAATTTTTATTTTAAATAAGATGGGCTCTATTCAAAGCCACATTTCATGCATGTGAGAGATCATGAATTTTTTGGTTTTTTGAAAATTTCCTTTTTTTGGGTTATTTAATCTATATTTATATTTGTGTAGTATGTATGAGTACATTGCAGATGTTGTATGTTACACGATCTGTGCTATGATGCCGCAATAAATCAAAAAATTTGCCCATTTGTAATATGGGAATATATGGATAACTACCAATGGAAATGTGAAAATCATCAGCCAGTTTGCTTGGGTTTTTTATATTTATGTCTTACAGATTTCAGATTTAGAGAAATTCAGATTTCGAAAACGTTCCAAAGAAGAAAAACATCCCAGTGAAAACACCAAAAGCCTCTTATTTCCCATGAAAATTATCAAATATTTTCTGTGGCCTAAAATAATTTATGGTACTTTAAATCTCAAAATAGATTGCCTGTCGATGTCAAATCTGTTGGGTAAAAAGTCGGCCGAAGCTCACCTCTATTATTATTGTTTATAATTTGCTAAAGAGAAAATTTTTTGAAGGAATCGAGGATTATAGGTGAAATTAACTACAATAATATTTATCTTCATTTTTCATCTTCACTTTTATATCATTCATTTTAGATCGCACAGAAGACGACTGTAAATCTGCTATGTGTGAATGTGACAAGATGGTCGTCGAATGTTGGGGACAATTTGATAAACCAAAAATTAAAGCCGAATGTGAAAAGTCGAATGAGACGAAATTCAAACTACGAAATAGCACGTACACCAAATGGTACATATAGCTTGTGAGTATTTTGCTTTCATTAACTTCTCTGAAATACCACTCAAATAAATAGATTTTAGAAGGAGGAACAAGCACTGCGATAAATTATTCTATGGACACGAGAATAGAATCTTTCAGTTCTTCAAATCTTTTGACTACAAATGAATTATTTATTTGTATAATTCATAATTTCATATTTTATGTTTTATACAACCCGAAAAATTGCGAAAACCCGTTTTTTCATTGATCTGATTTGACGTACGAAAGACAATTTTCTCGAAATTGGCCAATTTCTTATGGCTCAATTGCCATACAGATATGCAACTGATAACAAAGTATTTCTGATCCTTTTCCCAGCATATTTCAAAGATTTTGCTTGAATGAGCTTGAATAAAGGTGGAATTTAAAGCATCAGTTCGCTTGCATGATCTTGCCAGGATACTCTTTCCATTCTCCAAAGCAGTAGCATAATTGATCGCCTTGTAGTAAATCAGCATCTGATACGAAGAGATATGACGAAAAGATTTTCACCATATTTTTTTAAATTTTAAGTTTAAGTTTAAAAGTTCAAAGCGAAGTCGGCCCAGTTGTGGAAAAAGGATTGGCATACTTTCAGATTATCAAATTGACAGACTTCATTTTTAAGCCAGTAGAGCTAAAACTAACCAATAACACCTAACATACGCTTGAATAAATGGATGAGAAGAAGCAAAAAATTTAAAAAGATGCACCTGGCACCAATAATTACCAAATAAATTATTCGAAGTGATTCCAATCCGAGTAAACAACTGACCGGCTTCAGATAACAACCACGCACTTGTTCTACCCACTTCAGTCTTCTTTAGATCACCATTGAAATTAGGGGCATTAAGTTCGCGCCATGTTTAAAAATATATATCCAAAGATTTGATGTATATTTCCTTTTCATTTTTTTCCAGTTTTAAGAATATACGAATTACAGCGAGAATATAAGTCAGCTTTGAAAATTAGTACCATAATCTCGTTACTTGACAATATAATCCAAACAGCTTGATTTGAATATGAGGAAGCACTTAACACCTGCCGTCCCACTGCAATCCAAAAATATTGACTTATAACAGCTATAATTTTCATTAATTCATTGGCAAAATAAGTAACAAAATAAAAAAGAAAAAAACAGCGCAGACTTATAACTTAAATTGTAATTTTCAAGAAATTTGTAGGTGAAAAAATGGTAAAAAACTGACTCTTGATTTCAAACAATTAAAATATTAATGAAAGTATATTTAAGTACATAAAAGTAATTACCGAACAAGTGCCATCTTTCCGGACGGAAATCGAAGAGATCCTTGGAGAATCAATGCTAATCCAAGGAGCTGGCATATTCATGAACCTTTTTCGTGCCAAATACGACACTTCATTGCTCCTTAACAATTTCAATTAATAGAATTAGGTGAAAAAATGCATGCTTTGGCTAACTATTTTTTTCTGTGAAATCCACTCCAACTTTTTTGTTTATCGCTATCCTTCATGATTATCTTCGTTCGAAACATGCAACCACTGTGAATCTAACCAACTTCAAAATTTATTAGGAAGTCTAAAAAAATTTGTAAAAAGTTAAAATTAGAACTGAAAATAAAAGTGGAAAAATAAACTTTGACCAATCTCTGCTCAGTTTTTAAACATTGCCCGTTCCAGTTTCATCTGACAAAGCGTATTAACGACCAGCAATCTTTCCAATAAAGGAGACGAAACCGATAAAAATGCTATATTTTTGCGTCTCTATGATGGTTTCCGTGATAGAGTCAGTTTGAGATAATCCTAACTGTAAACCTTTTTAGCGAAATTATAAAGTCAAAATCGCCACATAAGGACTACGGCTTTCCATCCTTGAAAGAAAAACGATAAAATTCTAGAAATCTATTAAATTTTATCTGAAGATTTAGTGGATAACTGTGAAAGATTCAGTGAAAAATTTCATTATTTCAAATAAAACTTAAATAAATTGAACCAGAAAACTTTTATAGTCAATTTTTACGCCACGGTATTTTACGAAGGCCTTAAATGCAGTAATTTATATAAATGCAATAATAATTTATAAAATATAAAAAATTCAAAAATAAATGACTTTATTTTATATAAAATATTACCAGCGATATCCCCCATGTGATTCCATTATATCTCACTTTGACCTCTTCGAACTACCAAGCTGTTGTATCCATCGCTGTTCAGATAACGGAACTACGTCAATCTAAAAAAAAAATCGCCTCATAATCAATAAAAGATTAAATGAAATTTTCAAATTTCGAAAGTGATACTTTATAAATTAAATATTTATAACGAGCCAGATTGAGAAAAAGAAAAATAAGTATTTTCCCGAGTTTTCCGATCATTCAAGCTAAAAAAATATTTGAATTAAAATAAAATAATACAACGAAGAAAGATTAAAAATATCACTGAATTTTCAAGAGTGGATAAAGTAGAAAATAGTGCTGAAATTGGTCGATTTGGTTGGCTGTTGACTGACAACCAAAATAAGGCAAAATGATAATCGAGATAAACGGTTGATCACTGCTACGATAGCCTGCAAGAAAAACCGAAATATTCTTTTCTTTATATTTTATCATAATTTTATAATTTATATCATTTGATGAAAAAGTGAAGAAAAAGAATATGTTAAGAATTTAAGAAAAGAAAGAAAAAATAAGATTTCAAAATGAAGCAACTTTTTGCAGCTTAATTTGCCACTGATCCTTTCTTGCTCTGAATTAAATGCCAGACAACTTAGCAGTTGTCTCGCGAATGAATTAGCAAAATGTAAGGTCGTATAGGATCAAAAATTGAAAACGCTCCAAGAATCTATAATTTGACTTAAAATGAAGCAAGCAATAAATAAAAATTAACAATAATATTAAAACAGCAATGATATTTTACAAATGACAGGAGATAATCACTCATCTAATCAGCAGTCTCGATCTTTGCACATCCCTACGAGAGCGAATCCTGTCCATAATCAAGGATTTTAAGGATTTTAAAATTTTGTTTTTATTGTTTGATACGTTTCGCTCACCATAAACAAATGAATAGAATTATGAAGCCGTGAATTTAAAATTTTAAATTCCATGAGTTAGCACCCGCATAAGTCGTTGCTTACACTAGGCTTTAAATCATAGGAATAACTGCTTGGCAATTTAGACTTAGGCAGTGGAAAAAAGGATGGCCCCAATTAATTTTGAATATATCGCCAAATGTGGACCCTTGGAAACAGTCACTTGTCGTATGTGAGACCAGTAAAACGCATTATTAGAAGACATATTTAGATATCACGAATTTAATGATAAATTCTTTATATTTAAGGAAAAAATGTTTGATTGAATTTCAGACGAATGTTCCTTCCGAGTCGAGAGAAAACTGATATTAAATCACTACTATCAGCAATGGACAGTTGTCCATTGTTCAGCTGACAGTTCACTGTTCGCTGAATAACCAATTTAAAGATTTAAATGAAGAGGAAAATACTTGCACTCTAGCAGATTACATTGACTACTCATCTTTTTGGAGGATGGGGCCAAAATTATCCAAATATTGCCACAGTGCGTGCTCTTGATTGTTTAAAGAATACAAAATCTCAAAATAATTCCAAATCAATTCTAATCGAATGGTTCATAAAATTTTGAAAAAAAAATAAACAAGAAATAAAATAAAAAAATGAAGGTTGGAATTAAAATAACTTAAAGAAGCGAAACCTTTCGACGCCAGCTGGATTCAGGAAATAAATTGGTATATACATTCTTCCGAACGAAACTTGAATTAGTCCAATGTTTAGGAAACTCTCGGAGCAGAAATGCGCAATTACCGCCGTCTACCTAGAAACATCGGGTGAAAACTCAAAATTCCAGTTAGTACTGCAGTGTGCAAAGTTTGAATTGATGCCATCCAAAGCTTAAATTTTTCAGAAAATAAGTTGGAAGGAAAATTTTAAAAAGATCAAAAAAAAATTTGACCTTTTCTGTGACTGAAATGATCCATATCGATGAACGGCGCATAGCAATATTCATAGCCAGCATATCAGATGGAGTTATTCGCAAATGAATATTCCAGAGCTGCTCGAACAGCTGATAGAAGATATTTCGGTGCGATGGGAATAATCTGAATGATCATCTGTGAAATTATTATTAATTACTAGTTCCATTTAAATCTTCCATTGTTGTATGACTTTGTAAAACATTTAAGATTGAAAATTGAAAATGTAAATGTTAGATCTATGAATGAATATCTAAAAATGCTGCAAGCAGCAATAATTGGAAATATTCAGAGATTAGCTGTCTGGAAAAAGCTTAATATTAGAGCATTAATACAACTATACAATAATACAGTAATGAGCTAAGGAAATAGATTAAAGCAGAAAAATTAGAAAATTTGAACACTACCAGACTTAATTAAGAATTATAAGGTTTTATATTGATTCGTATGGTATTGAATCATTCCTTAAATTCTTATTGTTACTCAATATGAATTAAATAGATAAATAAATGAAAATAAAAAGTAAAAAATAAATAAATAACTAAAAAACAAAAAATATCATCGATTTTATTTATAAAATTAATAAAATTATGAAAATTTGGAACAATTTTTCCAGCCAATAATCCATTTGTGCCAGAAATTTTGACGAATTTATTAAGATCACCAACAAGATTTTTTCTCAAAATATTCAAAAACAGTTTCGTTTATTCTCCCTCAACTTTTATATTTGGATTCTTTGCGATAATGCACTATACATTTGATACATTTTATGAAGTAGCTATTGCCTTTTGGCTAATAACTAAATATTATTTGTAGATTAAGCTGATATAAAACGAAGAACTCGAAAAAATAATAAACTGCTGAAAAATTAAAAGATTTTCTATTACTAAGTTTGATGAAAAGTGCGAAATTGTTGTACTCAGAACATTTCTCAACAAATTTTCGAATAAAATTTGACACATTGGAAATGTGCATCCATGAAGTCAAAAATGAACTTGAAATTTTGTAATCATAACATTATAGATATAGAAATTATGGACGTACGTTCTACTGATAATTCAACGAAAATGATGCAAAAAGCTAAAACCATCTCGAATCGGATCAAGAGGAATCCACTCGTCTCCTTCAGAAGAACTTCGAGCGGCTGATGCTCATCAGCATGAATATCACACCATCAAAAGAAAGGGCAAATAAACTAAAAGAACTTTCGGAATCACTGATATCAAATCCACCGACAAATATATCCATGAAATATTCAGAAACACTGACGAAATTCATCTAAACACCATATAAACACATATAATAAATTCATTATAAATTAAACTTTTTATGCTATAAACTCGTCTAATCGTAAAAAATTTGACGTGCAAAAAAACCTGAATCCATTTACATATTTCAAAATATCACATTGAACGAACCTATCTTCGCCTTCTAACAAGCGTTCTCACCGTTGGAATTTGTTTATATTGAATCTTACCACCAAAATTAAAAGCGAATTGCCATCGCTCAAAAAAAGAGATATGTGACACGTGTACATAAAAAGGAATTCTTCCATAGTCTAAATAGTTCTTTTATTAACAGAGTAATACCGAAAAGAATGGATATCCACCTCGCCTTTTGCAAAAGATAAAACAGTGGCACTGGCGCTCAGAAAGAGTTGAGTCTATTCCGCATGATTACACATGAATTCGGTATGGAAAATGGAAAGACAGTCCAAAAGCTGGTCGTTCTGCCTCATTAATTTGAAACTAATTAATTAAAAGGAAATAAAAATGAGAAAGAAAACCGACTTCTTTGTCATATGATTGCTCATTCGTATCAATCATCCATGCTTGTTCCCACTCCCAACCAACTGATGGCGAATCAAAACTGTTAGATGGTTGAATAATATCTACTGTTTCATCGGTAAAGAAAGCCCGATCAGATGGCAAAGTTCGCGATGACCAGCCAAATAAAGGATACCAACGCTTAAAATAAATAAGTCAACAAATACTCCACAAGAAATAAGAAAAATTTCCGATTTGCAAAGTCAAAAAATATTCATTTAAAAAATATTTAAATATAATATAATATTAAAAAATATTTGAAAAATAAAAATTTTGTTATTTCTGATGAAAAAAATTTAATATTCACACGAATCTCTAACCCTAAGTTATATGACTGACGAGGAGGAAAACTTACTGGGCCAAGAATTTCCAACAGACATTGACGGACTGCATGATTTTCATAGGTAGACACTGTTCGACGAATCGTTGTGTATGTATTACACAAGTATGTGTAGCAATGTCCTTGTTTATCAATTGAAAAAATATAATTAACTTGGCGCTATTTTTATTACTTGAACACGTTTATTATTACCATTATCAAGGAAAACCGTTTCAAATATCCATTTAAATAATCATTATCTCTTGAAAATAGCTCAAAATCACAGTTGTACATCGCTGAATAGCGAAAGTAAAAATTTTCTATGAGATTTTAAAAATCTAAAACAAAATTAACAACCAACTCATTGCAAGAATCAATAAGTGATACGGACTGATAAGGCAATAACAAACAAATCAAACTGATGTGTCGGTGGTGTATTTAATAGATATTTAAATGCAATACCTAAAACCCATTTAAGTGAAATTTACACCGTTGATAAGAAATTCAGCAATTTCGATAGGTGAATTCATAAGAATTCATAGAATTAAAATATAAAAATAAAATATTACTAAGGATACATTTATTTTCGTGGACAACCACAAAAATCCACACCCCATAAGTAATCGTTGACCATTTGAATTCACTGAAATATTTAACGAAATATTCAAGTAATGATAAAAAAATAAAAAATACTTTTCTTAAATATACTTACTTTATTTCTATACTTCTAAAAATACTTTATTTCTCGGAATTATAACAATGCGCAAATATTATCAAATCTTTATCAGCACGAATAAAGCAGATAAGGCGACGCAAACAGCAGAAACACGAGTGCTCTTGAATTGACTTTGCACTAACCCGTATGCCTCTGATTTAAACAAGACTTAAAGGAATCATCAAACATCTATTTGATGATGATGATGATGATGATGATGATGATGATGATGATGATGATGATGATGATAAATGATAATAAATGATGATAAATTTGATAAATCATGGCCCCTTGAGAGTGACCAACCCCAGATGTGAGAATGTTGCAGTCCTACAAATTCATAAATAAATGGTTGAAAGACTGGTATCTATGGACCGTCTAGGTTCCGTGGCAATTTTCGAGAAAGGCTTGGGAGTCTAATTTGAATTATTAAAAAACGGTTGTCGTCGACTTACAAATCAGTGTAATGAGTTCTTTTATCATTGATAAAATCTCAGTTAGTTTCTAAAAAATGCATTAGCAGTTCAAGAAGTGCCAAATTTTAAATATCTGGGGTACTTGGTCAAGCCAGGAAATTCCAGCTCAGTTACTGCTGCGGAACTTCGCAGTGAAATCAGTTTCAGAACGAAAGTTCTCATCAATACGCAATAGTCCTACTATAAAAATTATTTGAAATATGTTCAGTGACAATGATTTATTAGCGTTTACACAATTTAAAGTGCATAATAAAAGACGGTCCGCTTGTTCTGGCTGAATTATGTTCTTGGTCCAGTGTCGCCGTACGCACATCTGGCTAGTTTATAAGTGACTCTCCGATAGGTGACGTCAAAAGCGAGAAAGTGGTCCAGTCGAGACTTCAAATGGATTAAAGGAGATGTTGAACGAATAGACGCTTTAGTGATATAGGGGTTCAGATAGTGGAAGAAGAGTACCAAATCATCAGTGGTGCTAGCTGGTTATAGAAGAAGAAGACTACCATCCTAGAAGCACCGTCCAACTTTTTACTTATAAAAAATCGTTCTGAACAAGTTTGACAATTTATTCATTCAATAAATAGTGGTACTTGCACATATTTTACGGCTTTACATTTTCTAATATCTCCAACGCTTGTCGAACTTGATTTAAAGAAGCACGGAGAGTTTCCATTAATGCATTCCACATTGCATTTCTTTGGCCAAATTCGGCCAAATCAGATCATATTTAACGCATTGAATAATTATATGCAAAAATTTAGAGCAAAATTTGGTTTTGAGCCTCTGATCAAGTTGTTCCTCGTCGAATTTTTGTTTTTGCCGTTTTTATTTTAAAATAAATTAATTTTATTGCATATGAAATGGAATGGCGTATGTTTTATTGAAGATTTATGCAAATTAAATTTCGTTATCTCATAACGATTGGAATTTTAGCAATTTTGTATTTTTTAAGATCACGATGAAATACAATGAAAATTTCATGGAAATCAAGAAATTCTATTCAATTATCATTGAAACAATTACATATAACACAATATTAATCGGTAAAAATATATTAATTTTGTTAATTTCCTTTACTGAGAAATGCCTGTAGGGCGTAAAGCGTCTCGGCATTTCTTCCCGAACCATATATGCCAGAAGCCTTAATAAAATATTTATATAAATATTAAAAAACGAATACTTTTTTTACTTCTATTGAAATAAAAAAACATTGTAAAGATTTATTCGTAATAAGTAATGCAATAACGTAACGAGCAGCTTGGAGAGCCCTACGCTTGTAACGAGCGAAGCCAGCCTAATCAGTAATGGCGGAGCTGTTAGAAGTTCGATGGTTTTGTCTTATAAATCTATCAGCTGAAAAAAAGTTAAGATGATAAATTTGTAAAACTTATGAATTTACCAGTATTGATACTACTTCAACGCGGCCATATTGTGTGTGATGGCCTGCCACTCGGTCCTTTTCAACGAAAAACGGCTTCATTTCAGATGTTCGCTGCAAAAAAATAAAATGCGATGTTCGTATTATTCAGTATTATTGTAATTGTACCACGAAAATTGCTCTTAAAATTGATTTAAATGAAAAGATGTATGTCACCTCATATCCAAGTTTGGAAGCAAATCGCCGTGAATGAAGCATAGGTGATGTCAAAGACAAATCGCCACCAAACAAGAGTAAGCGTAAATTAGAATCGACAACCTCTCTCACCACTCCATAAATATCTTCAGGTAACATACAGCTATATGGAACCCACCTGAAAATTACAATTCTTTTTACTAAATCTGATAATCAGATCAAATAATCCGATAGATCTTTCCACATTTGGACAACTTAAAATAGAAAAAAAAATGGTTTCTTCCGACAGCCATGATGCACACTAAAGATTCTTCTACCTGTACATATCCCACGGTCGAACATCATCGGGTATATTCAAAGCTTGTCGAACATCTGCTCTGTTTAAATAAGAGTTAAATGGAGTCTCATCAATACATTTGAGATCGGACTTCTGAAAGTTTTTATAAGCCGCATAATTTATAAAAATTATCAATAAAAAAATCCTTTAATGAGATTGGTAGCTTTTGGCTGAATGGCTATTAGAATGAACCGAGCCATTTTGGCTGAGAGCCATTCGATTTGACGATAACAGTGCATATGGTTTCTAAGCACCATCCGAAAATGGTTTAGAAAGAAATCTTAATTCAGCAGCATAAAAGTAATTCATAAATGTAATTCACCTCTATATAAAGATTTATAGTGTCTGCCAACATTCCGAGTCTTTTTCCAGAAAAACCCCTGTTTTTCGTAAAATTCACAATCTGAGTATCGTTTTCACATTTATCATTTAAATTATACATATTCAGACCAGATTTCCTTTAAAAAATTCTGAACATTTTTAACCGATTGGTTATCTCTTGAAAATGCCGTTTCTTTCTTGATATTATCATGTTATCATATCATAAATATAAAAAAGATAAGAAAAAAGATGAATGTTGGCTGAATTGGATTTCTAATTTTGATTATATAAATTTAAATATAAATTTATTTAGAGCGACGTTCAAAATATGCAGAATTTTATCGTTCTATTTTCCGACATCGGTTCAGAACATTTCTTATTAATATAGTGCCTCGTTAATTTTTATCCTTAGGAAAAAATAAGGAGTTTAAAAAAACGAATTTACTCTCTATTATAAATGAGCTGAACGATGAAATCACCGCAGAATTCGTCAATAGACGTATAAGCGAAATTACATCCATCAAAAGTCCCATTGCAACAATCTTTTTGAACAGTTTGATAGTCCCTACAATTTACTACAATTTATTTACAATTCTTACAATATTTCAGCTTATCATATCAAAGAAAGATTTTTGCATTTTATGGCAGCTAAGATAATTGAAAATGAGCCATAAAAAAGGCCGAAAATAAAAATTATGCGAAAACATTGCTTAGAATATCATTAGTTTTTGCTTAAATGCGATGTTTTGCTTCTAATTTAATTTAATCGCCTAATTTCTTGCAAGACTAATGATTTCCATGAATCCACAATAAAACGACCTCTCGTCGACCAGGCCAAAACTGTACATTTGCATTGCTAAGTCAGTGAAGCTCTCTTCGAAACTGAGCATAGCGTTTCCGATAAATAATCCCTGAAAATGCCATTTATTCAGCCGGCGTTCTTATTTTTATATCTCATTTGATTATGTTTCTTTCGCTATTTTCTTAACACTACTCTTCACTTCTGGTCTGGCAAGCTCCACAAATCCGATGATACCTTATTTGAGAATCGCTTGGAGGCAGAAATAGATTAGCTTCCGCCACAATCCAAATTTCGCTTTTTATGGCAGATTGCAGTCAAGAGACACGAGTCATGCATGTCTACTACCCATGCAAATAACATTCTATTCGACTGATTTTACTAATTTTTTTTTTGATTTAGATGTGGTTTTCACAATTTAAAAATAAATGGAAATAGTTGTTAAACGTAGTTCAAAGGTGTCTTTAAAAAATTAATTAAAAATGAGAAAATCCATTCATATTTTTGCCATAGAAAAATAATATTTATATGCATTTTTAATAAAACTATAATTTTTACTTGCAGATTGATTTGATTTTCTGTTCTGTTCTGCATGATTTTTAATGCAAGAAGTGGTACATACTGGCCCGTTCCACTAGCACCGCCAACATAAAGATCATTCACCTGCAAAAAATTTTTGTATCAAGTTTCTTCTCGCTTTTTTTTCTACTCTTCGGTAAATTTAGGTGTACTTTGGATATATTAGATATCTTAAATATAAGCTCACCTTGAAATCTGGAAACTCTTGGAAAAACTGTATAAGCAACTCGTATGTAAGATCTCTCCTAGCGTAAACATCGCTCGTAGCGTTGCTTGCGCGCCCATACGAGAATCTAAATGTTTGTATTATTTTATTTTTTATGATACAAATTTATGGGCTGTCTGATTGAATTTAGCCTCGAAACTAACCATATCTTACTTTAATATTTGAAAAAAATCATGGACCTCCGAACCATTAATCAATGGATAATAAAATAAAATAACCCAGCGTATACAGGAAGATCGATGACCAGTAGATTAGTGACTTTGCTCCATGCATTATCGTTTCTTACTAATGAGCCATTCGAAGTGCTAATTATGTAAGGACTAAGCGTAAAGAAAAACTGATGCAATACCGAGTATCCCAGCGAACTAGCAAACCAAACCAGCAGTGGTTTAGAACTAGGATCGCTTTCTGCCACCGTGAATCTAAATTTTCTTCCATTAAACAGTTTTCTGAAAATCAAAATAATTAAGAATTTTTCATATCGACCACAAAAGACAATTCGGCCTTATATAGCGTCGAAAAAGTTTCACTAAAAAAGCCAAAAGTAAGATAAAATTAAAACCAAAAGCACCCTCGTGAAAAACCAATTTTAGTTAACATCATAAAAGAGGTTGAGAAATTCTTACATATAATGAGCATGACGGTCGTCGTCAAGATGTAGGTACCCAGAGTACTGTACTACATCATTATCCGGTGCGTCGGGTAAGTGAATGGGAGTGTGTGGCTTCGAATCTGCCACAGCAAGAAAGAGAAGGAGAACTGCTTGTAGCATCTCTTCAACTGAATTTTTTGCCACTGATCATTGCTTTAATATGCGATTTCATTTGAACAAATGATAAGGTGTATTCTATGAATCTTATTGACTATTCAATTATTGATAAAAAAATTAGCTTTGATGCATGATAATGCATTTGATGCATTTTTACAGTGTTTGTTAACTAAAATATCTTAAAAAGAGATTTGTAGGTCGGAAATAAATGTCTTTTACTATAAATTCTTGTCATTTTCTAAAGAGTTCCGATAAATGTTTATAATTAAAAATCAACGAAAGTTTTTTTATCAAAGACGTCTATTATTTCACTTTTTACCCCACTGTTAGCATCACTCTTAAAAAGGTGTATGAAGCATGTAGTTCAGGAAGAGTGGAACAAAAAATAAGGATAGTTCCATAGTGCATGATGCTTCTGGTACTGAAACAATGCAAGTGCCATGTATATGACTAGGTGACTCCTTTCATCCATTAATTTTCATCAAAAGCGACACCCAAGCGATGAAGGAGACCCTTCCAATTATGAGAAAATGTGCACATTTCGTCATTAAGCAATATTTAAAATATTTAAAACAATATTTAAACCGTCCTTCACCTAAAATAAAGTAATAATTTTGCATGTATTTATATATATTCATTCATATATGCGAATTCCAAAAAAAATAAATATAAATTTTATAAATTTTATAATAATATAAATATAAATAATATAAATTAATATAAATTTCTGTTAATATAAGTTTATCTTTAAATTTTTTCTTCATAAATACCTTAATAATAATAATGTATTCCTCTAAACGTTTAATTTTCAGTCACGTGGAATGTAAATACAAATTTCGATGAATTCATCTTATCAGGAATTCCTTTCCATGAATTATTTGTTTATCGATAATTTTTAAAATATAATAAGCAATTTAATCCGATAAGGAAAAATTTATTCCGATAAGCAAACAAGAAACCTTGAAAAATGATTGATAAATGACAACTGATAAAATTTCAAGTAAAACTGAATGAAAAATTGAAAGAAAGAATAATTTATCTTAAAAATTTACGTTGGTGAACCAATTGTAGCTATATTGCTATCCTCAAACTGCTTCCTGGTACTAGTGGATTAGTCTAACCAGAAATGGTGAAGGCTTTTGGAAAAAGCTAACAAAAAGTAAAAAAAATTATATGAAAAAAAATTATCCCAAAATAATGGACGAAAAAATTGTTTAAAATTTGAAATACTTTTTTAAATTGAAATCTTATTGATAATATTGATAAAATAATTTTACGTTTTATTTTTATTATATATATATACGTATATATATTATTATACATATATATATATACGTATTATATATACGTATTCATTTTTACGTTTTTATTGGTCGTTTAAAATTTTCTTTTGAATTCTAAATTTTTTTGACTTTTTATGTTTTATTCGAGCTGAATTATATCATTTATAGTATTTTTAAAATTTCAAATAATTTCTAAATTACCTAATTTACATTCTTTTCTATTAAATTTTTCTTCTTATTTTTGCTTACTTTAGATTTCAATAGGGTGAAATAGTCGACAATCCAGAGTAATCTGATAATCTGCGTCTTCTAACAGTTCCCACCATTACTGGTTAAGCTGGCTCCACTACCTGCAAGGGTAAGACATTTCCAAACTGCGCGATCTCAAGCCATCGTCGACAACAAGCCATTCCTTTTTCCACCGTCTAAGTCCATATATTGCTAGTTTATCTATACGCTCAAAATCTTTCAAATCTTTCCTGACTATGTCTGGTCCGGGCCCCACCTCGCTTTAGACGCCACCCATTAAAGGGTTTAGTAAGTAACGAAATATATATCGAAATACATGTCTTATGGTGAGCGATGAAGAACATGCCTTAACCAGCGAAGACGACGGTCTGTGATGGCACTGGTACTGCATATACAAGTGGTATTTTAACGAAGGTGGATGCGATAATATGAGATTTTATCCACTCTGCGAACTTGCAAAACGTACCTTAAACATCAGTGGTCAAAAGATAAAGGATAATATGGATATGTATTTATTTATTCTTTAAATTTTTTAAGTGTCGTTTGTAAGTCGAGGGGTTCCACTGACTACTATGATCGGATATTTTGATCGGAAGTTCACTAGTTGATAGTAATATGGAAACCAAGAATTGTTCAAAAATTCTCCAAAGCATTTATTTCAAACATAAGAAAGTTTGCATTTCATTCTTGAATCTTGTAATTAATTCAAATAGTCATTAAAATGAGATTTCTGCTTGGATTTCCTTTTAGATAAAGCTGATTTCTATTATGAATAGTCAGTGAATTTGGTCAATGAATTATTCATTTGGATATCCAATTTCAGAAGAATCCTTTTGAAGCCTTTATTATTTGTCGTAGGACAATCTGAATCTTATACCTCATGTTTAGCTATCCTTTAGGTATCTAATTGAATTAGCTTTGATATTTCCCATCACTTATCAAGTGATGTCCCTTCAAAGATTTCATGATTGTCGTACTAGGAAATGTGTTGGTTGAGTATCGGAAGCAATTGTCCAACTGTCCGAAAAGGCTACTAAAACGCAAATATTAGGAGATCACAACTATAAGTGTAAGAAATGCAACGACAGCAGGGCCGCGGGGAGAAACTGGAGCTATTGGATCAACACGATCTTGAAAATAGGGATGGCGATAGCATGGTAACAGGAAACTATTCTTCTGGCGCCTTCTTCATAACACAACTATAACTTGGGGAATAATCACTGAAATACCAGACAATAGTGGTGCACCTATTAAGGCTGTTAAGGATTGCCTCATAAGGTGATTTTCTGAGATCAAGTTTAATCACGATGCACATGTTGTCCTGAATCGTTCGTCATATGTTTGCCATATGTCTGCAAGATACCAGCATAAAAGGAAATAATTTTTGTTATCCGAAAACTTAAGACCAATAAAACTCCTAGAGATGGTCTTTGGTCCGAACTCTTCAAATGTTGTCCGTTTTCACACCTTCACACCTTCCACAAATGTACTGTCTGGCAGAAAGAAATAATACTAGATGACTGCATCAAAGTAATTTTACTCCTTACAAACGTGACAGACGCACTGTGACAGAAAAAACAGACCTAGATGTGCTGGATTCAGACCGAGACGCAGTTGTGCTGACCAACTTTTCCCATTTAAGCGAAAATATCAGAAAATCGTTTCAAAAATCAACAATCATTTGTTTCACCGATTTCACAACTGCCCTTCAATTTAATTGACATAGCAGTGCTTCCGAGGTTGATGAAATGTGACGATGTTCCAGAAACGATCACTCGACTCATAAAGGCATTTTATCAATGTACATCTGCACAAATAAATAAGCCAAAATAAAAATAACATTTATAAAGAAAAGTAGCATATAAAGTAAAATATATAAAGTAAAAGTAGTATATAAAGTAAAGTTAATAAAATATTAAAACATAAAAGCCATGAAAACAACAGAATACTTTTAAGGAATGAAAAAAATATATCACAACAATAGTAAACCAAGAAAGTTCGCAACATTGGATCAATGATATATTAAAATAATTATGAACAAAACAAAAACTACAGCTGAAATTACCATATATTAGCAAGAAAATAGTATCTACAGGAAATGGATGCTTCATCTTTACGATGCTTCATCGTATTTTTGAATTCGCCATCAACCGAAACAGATCGCTAATCAACTACAATAATAATTGCTAATTTATAGCTCAAAAAATTTTAAAAAAAATGAAAAAAAGCAATGCTCCCATGAAATTACTTTCAGTAATTGATCTGATCAACAAAAAAATGAAAAAATTGGGGAAGATCTAAACATTCTTACATTAAGTAATAAATCTATTGAGAGGATAAAAAAGCTAGAATTTTCGGAATAAAAATTCCTTTATTCACTGAATCTTGCAATCACCATGCAATATTTGGCTACAAAAAATCCATTTCCAGGCTAATTGCCCATAGCTGCTTTGTTGGTCTAAAAAAGAACAAATAAAATAACAAGTAAAATATATGCAAAATAACTCAAATATTTCAAATAACTCAAATATTTTCCCAAGATAAAATTTGAGAATTTCGAATTATAAAAAAGAAATTAACCTGAACAATGCCGACAATCATACCAAAAAGCCCTATTGCCGAAGCAAAAATTTCAATGATAAGAATTTTGACAAAAAGAGACGGATTAGCAGCATCAGCAAGAGCTGCACCACTTCCAACTATGCCTAAATTGATAAATTAATACAATAAATTTTCAAATAAAAAGAATAATTTATGTAATAAACCGTCAAAAGAATCAACAACAATCATTTCGTTTATTAATAGTTTTACATTAGAAAAACAAACTTTTATATAAAAAATTTGAAACCTGAAATTGAAAACAATTAAAAAAACTAAATTACCGATGGATAAGCCACAAACTAAATTACTAAACCCAACGGTAAGTCCACCACCGAAAATCATATATCCAGCAGCCAAATTTCTAGCAATAACTTCTTCGCTAGCACCACTTCGATTGAACGGCTGAAAAAAAATTAAAATTCGATAATTTATATTGCTGAAGCTAACGAAACAATTTGAAAAAATGTTTAAAAAGATATGGAATTATAAGAAAAAAAAGATACTTGCATTAGTCCAACAAAAACCAGAGCCATGATAATGCCAAAAATTGCAACTGCTTCACAAAAGATAATTGAAACTAAATTCTTCGTTCTAATACGAGGAGCTTTTACACCACCTCCAAGGATGGATGCGCCAGTTGAAAATATGCCCCTAATATAATATTATATTATTTATATATTGTATGTTTATTCTACATCACAGTAATTAAATCTGATTTAAATTATTAAGTTATTATTTTCGTGATAAAATACAAATATAAAATATATAAAATATAAAATATAAATGAAATATAAAAAATATATGAACGCGAAAGAAATCTTTCAACTTAATGGATATACTGGCAACTTAATTGCACTTGCATTTCTATCGACAAGTGATTCTCTGGCAAAATCTGGTTGACCCTACAAGACAGTGGGGGAATCACCAGGAATGGCTCTTAGAAAAAAAATTATTCATTACGACTGATTTAAAGAGAATCAATTGTTTTTTCTTCTCCAAGCCAAATATAATTTTTTTCAGTATTGATGAAAATAAATACCAGCCAGCGCCCAAAACGGAAAGAGACAGTGACGCTGCAACTCCCAGCCCAGCCCACATATGTGGTGATGTCTCTGTTAAAAACCACCCAATATCATACCGGTGACCTTGCCCGGACAACAAATAAAATAGCACTGAAATTAAACCATTAATGAGAAATGCACATTCTAAAAAAAAAATTCAGTACTTAATTTAAACCAATTTTATTGAAAAATTTCTAAAATAATTTTGATAAAATTATCTGAAATTCTTAAATTAAATGAAAATTAAAAATTTTGTAATTTTCAATTAGAAAAATATAAAAATAAATCATAAATTATTTATTTGTCATTAATAATTTATTAACATCTAATATTTTCTTTTTTTAAACAATTTGGCCTTTGCTTTATATTTTCCTACGAGCTATCAATTATTGCAATATGAATATTTCAGTTTTTTATGAAATTAACAATAGAAAATCTGTCAAAATCTGTCTGCTTACTTGAACAAACAATAACAGCAGAGAATATAATTAAAATTATATAAAATGATTTCAACATTGCTGAAGCCATTTCTGAATAATTCGCTAATTTTGCTCTCAAATTACCAATTAACCCTGGAAAATTTTCTTTAATAATTAATTTAACATTCTTCAAAAAATAAGGAATTATAAAATTGAATCTAAACTGTCTGAGCTAATAAAATTGCACCAATAGAAGACAATTACAGTTCAATACGAAAATACATAAATGACAAAAAAATGATAATAATAATGATAATGATAATATGCAAATACATAAGCCATCGAACCTACGAGAACTCAGAGAGAGAAAGTATGAATGGTATTAAGTGGGTAATTTCAAATATGATGCTTAACCGACAAGCCTGAAAGCGCTTCACTTTAGTGCTTGGTAAATGGAAAAAATAAATAGTTGTATCGGTTCTGGTTAAGCCGGCGCCACATTGAATATTGAAGACAGGGAACCACTTTAAAACAGAAGTAAATGTCAGCCTGGATTTTGAAAAATTAAATATTTTTCAATAAAACTGGGTTTAGTGATAACATATATGCAAATACATAGGCTACTAAGCCTAAGAGAGAAGTAAATTTACGTCCAGCACCAGCCTGGTGCAACTCCTGCAGGGAGCATAGCGAAGAACATCTTCTCCGTCCCCGACTCTTGGTAGGACCAGTCATCCGACCTGCCTATTAGCTGCCTATAAAGGCAGACAAACCAAACATGGTGCGCATGGTGTGCTCTGTGGATACGGTTTGAATGCATAAACCTTTCGCGACACAAATTCCCCACATTTTTAAAAATTTAAAATGCAAAATTGGTTTAAATCGAAGAAACCCCGCATTTGGTTCATTGTAAAAGTTTAATACAAACAAATTTTCCAATTTTCCAATAAAAAAAAAGGAGAAAAACCTTCCAACCTCATTCGAAACCAAAATGAGCCGCAAAATATTAGCCGGCGATTTTTGCTCTCAACGAAAATCAATGTTTTCAGCTGCGTCCGCAATAACTAAATAGCAGACTTATTTCTATTTGACAGCTTAATGAATATCAATCAGTGGCGGCTATTATTCCTTCCGGTCTTTATTTTTAAATTTTGTTTAATTTCTTGGTTTAATATTTTCTGCTCTGTTTTGCTCTTATCAGTTTTTTATTCTGGTTGCCTTCCTTCAAAGTACCACAACCTTGCGGCTTTCTAGACGTTGAAATCATCTCCCCCTCCCCTTCTCCCTCTTTCTTCTCCTCGTCTTAAGCGCCACTGCGTATTTTTCATAATTTTACGATCTTTCTTCCATTTTCAGCTGTTTTGTATTTTCTTATTTATTTTTTCAAAGTGTTTCTTTCACGCAAATAGCTTTATGCACTGTTTGATTCTTACAAATAATCGCTCAGCTACGTTTATAGTCTGCATTTTAGCGCAACGTGGAAACGGCATTCCTTTGTTTTTTCTAGCTTTGTGAATTACGAAAGAATTACACAGTTTTAGGTCTTCATTCCGCATTTTTATTTTTTTGAACCATGCAAGTTTTGGAGGACAGTCATTTAGTGATAGAAGTGTGGGAAATAAATTGTTGGCACCATTTAAAAATAATTTAGTAATGGTTGATTTTAAATAATAAAAATTTTGTATGGCAAAATTTTGGAAAATAATGAATAAAGAAAAACTTGCCTATAAAAACTTCCTACTGAAAATAGAACTGGCACTCTGGCGCTCCGAAATAAGAGGAATTGTCTGTTGAATTATTTTTCCTCTTGTTGGTTTCTGTTAATTTCAGTCGCTTATAGTTGTTAAACATATTTGGAATGACGGTAACGATATTTTCTTGAAAGTTATTATTTATTTTATTTGGAAATGGTATTATAATTGAAAATTTTAATTTGCACATAAAAGGCTAAAGGTTTTTCATCTTCGGTTTTCTAGCGAAAATAATGCTTTAAAAAAATTTGATAAAATTATTTATAAATTTCAAAGTTTCAACGGTATTTTTGGCGTGAAATGTGCCCCTCTTTTCACATCTTTTAAAAACAAAAATATATATTTATAAATAATTAGAATTAATTTATTAGCTAACACAAGATTTCGAGAACCACGAGATTTACCACGAGGTTTCGAGAACTACTGGAAATTTCTAAAAATTTCTGAAATTTTTGGTAACGAACAGAAGTGAACGTGGTGGGGAGACAATATACGAGAGAGATTTAAATCAATTCGAGCAAATTACTTAAAAATAGAATTTGTCGTATAAAAAGACAAAAATTTGGCAATTTACACGTCAAATTTATCAGATAAGTTTTGTCGCTAATATGTCGCTTTTCTTCGCAAATTGTGTCGCTGTTATGTTCCACAGTTCTAGTGATATATGTTTTATTGATTTGATAGCGCTTTTGATAATTTGTTCAATATTGATAATCTATTACATCATTCGATTATTTTATATTGGCTTAAAGTTTTTCTTACAACGGTATAATATTGATAACCTACTTTCAAGCGATTTTTTACCCTAACATTCAGCACTTTCATCTATTTTCACGCTTTTTATTCCTCTAAGATAGATCTTTTTTTTGGATTTCATTCAAATTTTGCGCCAAATTAAAACATAGGAAGAAGGGAAAGGAAACTGGCTTTTCCGTCATATTGTTTGCTTCTTCGTTCAATAAGTAAGAGGTATAAATTAGCTTACAGCGCCGCATCACAGACCTCTAATACGTTGATGATGTAGTCCTTTATGCTGACAGTTATGACGAAATGCAAATAAAGTGTTAAAGGAAGATATATAAAGGGAAAAAAGCTCTTCACCAATATTCCATGCTGATGAAATTTATCCAACGACCTTTAATGAAATGAAATTTACACCATTATATTAAAAGATCAGATCTTGAAAGCACCGAACATCACCAAGTAATAAGGATGTGCAGAGTTGCAGCTTATTGTTGTGCTGTTGGAATCAATGTCCTATAGGCATCCTGGAAAGATGGCTATTCCTCGGTAGTGATTCGGGTGGATTCCAGTCGACTGTGCAACGTTTTTTTTTGCGAGTAGAGGTGATTCGTGGATTTCACCGCTGAAAACGTCGATTAATTGGAAAGCATTCTAAAATTGCCAAATGGAAGTGTGAAAAGTGGTTGGAGGTAAAAGCTGAACAAACATCTCCGTATAGATTTTTTAAAATTTTTTAATTCTTTTTCCAAATCAGTTAACTTATTAATAAGCTTGCAACAACGAACGAATTCTTCTTTTCTTCCTTTTTTAGTTAATCAACAAATTCGTACGCCTAAGATCGGCTGAAGTTGCCCCAACTCACCTCAACTGGAAATTCCCATTTCAGTCGTTCCCGGGAGTGCTACCATTCTTTCTCTCGTTTTCTTCCGTTTTCTTTTGTTTAAGAGGTTATTTATCAGTTAAAAAAGTCAAGGCTTAGCACAAAGGACAAAGGATAGTTTGCGTTGATTCTTTTCAGTTGAACCTTTCAACCTTGGAACAACTAAAAAAATTTCTTGCAAATTTTGCACGCAAAAAAATTTAAATAAAATACCAGATAAATTTTAGTGCTTATAAGAAGTGGCATTTAGCACATTTTTGTTGCTCATTATCACAATAATTAAAATGATTTTGAAGAGTATTTCTGCATCAAATCCATTCTTTCCTAAAGAATGTTCAGCTAATTGGATGAAAATTTACGGAATTAAAGACCGTAAGCTTTCTTTTCTAATATGTAATCAGTTGCATATTTTATAGAAATGGAAGAAGCAATAAAAGCAGCAGCAAATATTTGTTCAACATCAGTAAGTGACATGCCGAAAGAACTTGTTAATCATCTTTATAAGAATGGTGCTTTTTTGGTTCGCTTTTTTATTGCTTAACTTTTTTTCATTTTAATTTTTGCCAGTATTTTTTCTTCTAATTGTGCTCATTTTACAGGCAGTACTATGTACTGAAAAAAATTTGCTGAGGGTCACTTGAGAATTTCTATTTCTAAGGCACGTCGATCGCTCACCGTTCTTAAAAATAACATAGTATTAAATCGCCCTTGGTCCTAGTTACCAATTTATTTCCATTTTGATTTGGAAGCTTTAAGATTTTCCTCGATGTACCAGAAGGAACAGAATTCGGAATTGATTACAAATCATGGCATGTTGGAAATAAATTTCTTGGAATGAAAATGATACCACCTGGAATTCATTATATTTACTTCAGTGTCAGAAATGCGCCAAGAATTGGTTTTTTTCATATTTTCGGAGAACGTGAAATTCTAGTGAGAAAATGGGATAAATTACGCGAAGATACGACTGTTGGGAAAATTAGTGATGATGAAGTTTATATTTTTTAAGTTTTTAAAATATAACAATGTTTAGAAGATTGTTTATGATTTAATTCTCTTGATTGGCATTTTTTATTGTTTATTGTTTATTGTATTGTTTATTGTTTATTATTTGTTAATAATTTATTTAGAAAATGCAGGAAATTGATCTTCTAAGAAAGCAGAGAAATTCTCTTCTTTTAATATAGATGATGAAGTCTAATAATCGTTCTATCTGATTCAGATATCTCGTCTGAAATCAAATTTGAAACAAATGGATGGTGGTCTTGCCCCATATCCTTATGAATGCTATCGATCTTGGTTCGCTTTAAGCAATCATATAACGGGTTATTTTTTATTGATTATATTTTTTTTCATCCAGTGGTACATTTCGACCATAATTCTCCTGCTCTTCGGCCGCTGTTAAATTCGCAATGAAAAATGTTAATGCAATTTGAAAGAACTATTAATAATTTTTGGCTGCCACAGTTATTAATCTTTATTGATATCATCGCTAGATTTTTCCACAGAATAATGCAAAATGGATGATGCACAATTATTTTAGGCAAAACTATTGAAAGATTGAGACCGGAAAATGAATTTGGTCGTATCACTGGTCAGACTGAGCTGATAACGATGGAAAATGAAGTGTTCGAAAATGAACCGGTGATCTTCAGTAATTAAATACAAGGCTTCTTTTTTTTGCATTACGCAAATCCGTGGACTAAATTACATCTATTAACTTTAGTGAAATTTAGAATGTAGGCTGTTCATCCAGGGTTACTCGAGACAATCCTACTCGACTTCGATTTGTAGATAATGATGGTCTTCCCATTATGAATGTACGACCAGGATTTGAAATTCGATTTTCTAAAATACCACAGTACGGTCTAACTAATCGTGTAATTTTTTTAAAGACTTTAAAATCTGGAAAGTTTTTTCCGAATATCTCAATTCAAGCGTTTGTGAATTTCAGGAATCTGCAGCCATTAGTGGTATAGATGATACATGGAAATTAGAAACTATGATCGAAGTGTTGCAAGGTGAATCTTTGGAAATTATTGCTGAATTGCAATTTGCCTTTGTTTGCTTTTTAATTGGACAAGTAAGCTGTTTTGTATTGAAATATAAAAGAAATAAAAAAATTTGAGTGGTCTTTCGATATTTTCTACTTTTTTTTTTAGGTATATGAAGGATTTGAACAATGGAAACGTTTGATTCTTATACTTTGCAGTTGCAAGAAAGCAATTGCATCGTACAGCAGTCTTTACTTTACTCTTCTTCAAGTTCTTTTTTTCCAGTTAAAGGAATGTCCAAAAGATTTTTTCGTTGATATTGTATCAAAAGATAATTTTCTTACTACGACTCTTTCGAATCTTTTCGCTAATATTGAAGGTTTGTTTTGGCGGTTACGCTTTGAAGTATCAAGATATTGTTATTTGTTATATACTTTTTTCTTTCTGAAAACTCCACCAATTATGACGAAATTTTGGTTTCCAGCCTTGTTGTTGAATAATATAGTATTATTCTAAATATAAATAAATATAATATGCAAACATTTAGATTCTGAAACTGTTGATTCATCGCTGAAAGAAAAATCTCGGAAGTTCAAAATTTTTTTGACTAAACGATTCAAGTGGAACTTCGACCAGTCTGAAGCTGATGTTCCAATATCATTTGATCACTACTATCAAAGATGTCATCTTTTTGAAGATTGGAAAGCAGAAAAAATGGGAGAATAGTCATTCTTTTTCTCTTTATCTCTTATTGCTGTTATTGCGTTTTTTATAAATCGGAGGAAATGCGAAATTACTTTAATCCAGTTGAGATTTTAATGATTTTTAGCTTAAGGAAGAAAATTGTCAATTATACTTACAAAATCCTTAAAATATTTTTTCGAAACTTTTTTATAATTTTTTTGAATTTTTAAAAATATTTTTGCATCTTCGATTTTTACATTTAATTATTTTTTGTAATTATTTTTTGTAATTATTTTTTATTTCCAAATTTGTTTACATTTCGTAGTATAAATATGGTCGAAAAGCGATGTAAAATCGATATAAAATGCAAATTCGAGTGCAAAAAGATTATAAAAAAATTAAAAATTATTTTCTATTAAAAAATATTAAAAATTATTAAAATTACAAATTATATTCAATTGATAATAATTTTTTTGATAAACAAAATTTAAAGAAGTCCAGAAAATTTTTCTGTGCCATCTTGGAACAAAGAAAGAATTATGAAGAATTTTAATTAGTATTCTTATCAGAAATATCGGACGCTGTTGTTTTAATTATTGTAATTCTAGTCGAATGCAAAGCGCTTTCTGTTTGAGTACTTGTGCTGTTTGTTTATATTTCGGTTAATTTTGGTGTCAATGACTGATCGAACTGGAAAACGATTTTAAAACAATAAAATGTGAAATTGCCGATTTTTGGCTTGTTTTTTCCCTACAATTTTTTCTGTATTTTTGGAGGTCGAAATCTTTTTATGTCTCTCAAAAATCTCTGAAATAGTTGCGAAAATGTAGAAATGACGATTTTACCGCAAAGTCGAAGACATGGAATTTTGTGTAATTTTTTCAGTTTGCGTTTTTCGTTCTGAAACAACGGCTGATCCAAACGATTTTTTGCCCAATGTGCTAAAACATAGACCGTAAATTTGTGCACAATTTTGAAATTTATTGTTTTTCAATTCATATTTTTCTCCTGGCACTACTAATATTTCGTTTAACTATTTGTAATAAAATATTGGAATGAGTATTTTTGTGGGACACTCTTTGGACATGGAATTACGAATGGATTCCTTACCAACCAATTTATAATCTTTGCTTTTAACAACAGGTTTAACAACTTGTTCTTTGTGAGGGAATGGCGTTGTCACCTTTTTGAAGGTGACATGGTGGCGTTCTCACCCACGGAGCATCTAAAATTTGTAAATTTCTTGCGCTAATAGCAAAGCATGGTAAGACGCAGACCAGTGGTAAATTTATGAAACGAGATTCCTAAATATCTCTTGGCGCATCCACTATATATAATTGATTTTGGTGTCATATAAGCAACAGTTGTTGCATCAGCTTTTGCTAAAATTCCTTGAAGAATGCCTATTTTATCGGCAACTCCAAGTTTTTCTGTTTTCTGCCCTCTGCATCGCCATATAAGCTCGCCGAATGAACTTCATCTATACAGGGTGAAGCTTTATAACATCATTCAGCCAAATTTTCAGCCATATTTCACCAGACGAGCTCACATCGCTTAATTCGTATGAAATTTTACCTCTTTAATGTGTTTTGAATGTGAGATACGTTGTTGTCGCATGTCGCAGAATTCAGAATTAGCGGAGTTATTTCGATATCGAACTGAAAATCGGAATTAGAAAAATCGTTTTTTGTGCACTTTCAAAGAATTTTAAAAAAATAAAAAGAATGAAAAGTTGATTATTTTAGATAATACGATTATTATAAAAATAGATAAACAGAGAAATATTTCAATTTTTTAAAATAGTAATATTTTTTAAATAGCAAAAAAGCCATTGTAATGATGAGAATAAAAAAATAAGAATGAGCACAGAATAAACGAATAAGCCTAAAGCCTTGGACATGAGCGCATAATAATACTGGAGTTGTAAATTTATCACAAGTAATGAATAAAAACCAAGAGGCGTTGGGGATGACAACGAAGGGTTTCCTAGAGCGTCAGAGGAATGTAAGAGATGCCGTGTGATAAGCTTCTGAATGCGTCTCTCCAGGATCTCCATTTCCAGATGGACATTCCACACGAAACAATATATTATCCCGTTCTTTTTAATTCAAATAAATTTTTGTTTGATATTCACAGTGCATATTTATATTTTTTTCTAATGACCATTTCTAGTTAGGCTCACTACTTATCACAGCTTTATCAGGCTGCATTTGGCGAAAGAAGTACAGGTGGCTCGCCTGCAGTATCCAAATTTTTGAAAGACAACCGCAGGAGTAAACCTATACAAAAATCAGGGTGATGCTGGCGACTCACCTGTATTTCTATCGCCAAGGGATTCCCTGGCATATTTGTCCAGTGCAACAAGAAGTCTATTCTGTCCGTGAAACAAAATCCCCAATTCGGCGCTCTGAAGCGACAATTCACTGGGCCGTCCGTGTTTATCTACGTTTATTTATACAATAATTAACAAAAATAAAAAATATAACTTTTAAAGCAAATATTGTAATTGTAAATATTTTGTGTATGGCGGAAATACGAAGCATTTGTTCGGTTTTACAAATATCGCCATTTTGTTCTAACAAATTTTCTAACCCATTTACTTTCCACAGTTGTCTATTTTCTTTATTTAGGAAACCATAAACGATCCATTTGTTTGTCGTTGACTAAAATTTGTTAAACATTTTCCGTTTTTTAGCTTTTCTCTTGCTGCACTCACCATTTCTACTTCAATAATTTGCTCGCTCTAATAATTTATCGTACACTTTACCAGTGATAGAAGTAGAGACGGGTCGCCAGCATTACTCGAATTTTCGGGAGTCAAGTGGGCAGATCTCCGGCGGGAACGGAACCTCAGCATCGGCTCTCCGAAACGAGAACAGCGAGTCACCCTCCTACTTTCTATTCATATTTCAAAAAAAGCCAATTGTTCTTTAAGTGATCTATTGCTTTTAATTTAAGAATCGTTAAATGAAAGCAAAAAAACCTCTTCAAGAATTTTTCGAAGTTCGCTGGTAATGAATTCAGACAATCTATCTTCCATTCCTTCTCGTAATGCTTCATTTCTAAATTCATCGAGCAACGAAATCTAAATAGATTTCATCAACTACAATTTTGTAAAATTATGCACAAATGGAAGATGCAAATCGATTATAATCGAATATGCGAAAGCGCGTATGGTACCATTCCACTGTGGAAAGTAGTCTTTTGAGCATTACAGGTCCACTTTTCTAAATGATGGTAAAGTTCACGAAGAAATTGTATTGTTTCTATAAATTAGTGTTGGCTATAAATGGTGCCAATGAATGTTCGACGTAAAGTCGTCTGCTTACATGCCAAACTCAATAAAGTAAGCCACTACAGTGAGCAGTGCATATATTTCTTAGTTATTTCTGATTTTTGCACATACAAAACGAATGAAAGGTTTGAGGCATCGCTAAGGCATTACGGAGTTATATGCAAAGATAAGGCAGTAAATAATTTAAGCAATTCCGACCTCTAAAAGTTTGATAAATTCCGATGCTCGAGATGTTTTATCAATTTCGATATTAAATAAAATGTTTAACATCGATGAAACTGATGAAATCGAATATTGCTGATAATCGCTGAGATATTTTTTCATTTGTATGTGTATACTTTTTTAAAATTCAATTATTTTTGAAAAGAAAAAATTCATTAAAACTATAATTTTCTTAAAGTATGATAATAATACAACATATGGAGGGGGCAGCCGAATGGTTATGGTTACTGATGTGATTATCTAGCATGCAAAGCAAATTTATCAATAAAAAACTCAATATGTTGCCGGTAACCCACTTTTATTTTTATCATAGGTGATAAGTGATTCGCTGGAAAAAATTTCTATTTGTACTGAGGAACAGCCAGCGAAATGAACCAAAAATGGTGAGCATCAATCATTTTTTTATTACATTATTGCAAAAAAATTTAATAAGGAATAAAAAATTCTAAAATTTTAAATTTTTGATAATTTTTAGAAAGAATTGAAAGAATTGAAAGACTAACGAAAGTAAATCACTGAGTTTTCTCTTTTTCATCATAATTTTTACATTCGATTTATCCGATTTTGTAAGAGATTGCATTAATTTATCGCCTTCTTCAGATTTAATAACACCCTCGCCGGATTTTACAACTTTTATCTAAATTCCCCTTTTCCGTTTACAAAAAATGGATCAACTGAAACGATATTTGTTAAGATTCATTGAAATGAAACCATTACGCTCTATAAACGAAATAGGTCAAAAGTTTTTTACTGTCGTATTTTAGGTTTTAGGTTTATGAATGAATGAAGACGAATTTGCGAATCGCACACGCACCTCGTCATGCACATCGCCCATAATTTGATTTAGTCCTTCCTCGTTGATCTCTTCGAAATCCTCGCGTCCATAAAATGTCTGCAATCCCCAACCCGTTTTCATTATTTACTATTCAAGAATCTTTTTACTTTCGTTCTTACTGTTGCATATAACCAGAGATGTTAAAATTTACTGTCTTTTCATTAATATTTTTGTTTCCAATTTAATTTACTATTTAAATATTCAAAAAAGATGATTTTTATTGTGAAAAACCTTTTTAAGGTAAAATTCTTTAAATATATATGCAATTAATACAATAATAAATATAACGAAAGCAATAATAAAAGCGACTATTTGTGGTAAAAACGATGGTATCCATTCAATGCTACTTTTACAACGTTCCATTTCTAAATAAATTTAAAAACGACCAATTTTATAATTCCAAATTTTATTAAAATTGCCATTTTATTTTTTTCAAAATTTTTTGGCAAACCGTTCAACTTCAATTCAGCAAACAAATGAAGGGAATTTTAATTCAAATATATTCTTTGGTTTATCACCACTTCCATATTCACTTAGACGATTTGATTCATTCGTTTTTTGTAAGAGTCGCTTAACAGTCTTCGATAAATCAATCTCTTCACGTCTCTGATAATTTCTTTCCATCAATTTATCAAATGGTTCAGATCGAAACATTTCCAAAATTTGTTGTGTTTTTTCCTAAAAGTTGCAAAATTAGAAAAATCTAATCTAAATACTTGATGCAGTTTTTTGCACAAAATATCATTCCTTTTACCGCTTCTTTGCGTTCTTCTTCCACCGTATCAAGAGGAGAATTAAGCAAATTACGCAATGTTTCCACTGTTACTGGTTCTTTAGTAATATTTTTCTCTAAAAAAACAAATTATCTGCTGATATAATAAGATAAAGATGAAAAAACTTAAAATTAAGAGAAGTTTGCTTTATTCAGTCCAGCACCCGATTCCTATCCGTTGATAAGGGCAAATCAAATTTAACCGATAATTATATCTTTAAAATTATGATTTAAAATTTTATATGGATAAATAATATTCTATTACTTTCATGCCCGATTGTAAAAATAGTATTTTTCCTTGATACACGTATTGATTCGTAGCTCCAGTCAATACTCATGTCGACTGAATTTTCATCCGCTTCATCTTGAACACTTATTCCTCTTCCAGAAAATGCGTCAGGTTTATCGGTATTTTTTAGCACCATATAATTATTGATATTGTTACCAGGAAGTAAAGAAAGAGCATTATTTTTTGCCACAAAAGGTATGGCAAGACGTTGAACATCTTTGCCTGATGCCTGAAACATATTTATCTTTTATTTTATTTTTATTATCTAAACATTAAAAATGAAATTCACCTATTTCTGATTTATCGATTGAATCATATAAAATTTTCAAAAAATTATCTATGAAGAGAATCAATCAATAAAAAGAAGAATCAAAAAGAATAAAAAGCAAATCGTAAATTTCCGAAAGCATAAAGAAATAAGAAATATATATATATATTAAAAAAATACTTTTAAAATCTCGGCTACATCATTTTTGTCAAAAAGCAAAGACGCATCTTCTTCTAGCATAACAGCAATCTGTTCTTTGATTTTTTCCGTATTTTCACCATTCTGCACGTTCAATTCGGGTAACAAACATAGCGAACGATAACCGAGCGATATTCTTTTTTGAATAACCTTAAAATGAATATGATGTTAAATATTGTATAATGACCATAATCTCACTTATCGTAAATCAAAAAGGTAAGATTTACGAATACCAAAGGAAGGCTTAAAGCATTGAAATAGGCAAATAAATGCACTTCAATTTCAATAAGATTTTTAAGCAGAATGAAGCAAAGAAATCCAATGAAAACCCAACAGGTTGAACTAGCAATAAACTGATCAAATATAACAAAATAAAACCCAATATTAACAGCTAAGAAAAATATTTTTTAATAGCAACAGCGGAAAAAATCCGAACCTCACAAGTCGCTTTATACTGCAAAATAATAATATTTAAATATTTCGAAAAATTATACTCACTACTTGCTTACCCCTCTTAAAAATCACTTTTAGAGCATAAACTGAGTCAATTTGAAAATCCAGCAATAAGTCGAAAATTTTATAAAAAATTAGATAAAATTAAATTAAATTAGATAAATTACATAAAAAAAGATCGAAGAAAAATAATAAGAAAATAAATAAGAAGGTACTATAAAAATATACTTGCTGCATATGCTGACAAAGAGATGGAATGGCCATTAACTGACTGCTTAAATTCAAATATTTTGCAACAAGATTATGAATAGCTATTCGCTTATGAGGACTAAATCCACTGGAAGATTCTAATGCAATTGCCTGAAGAGCAAAAGAAAGACGAAACAGTTCGATAAGAACCTAAAATAAATAAAACGAAAATGAAAAAGTTTAATTTTCTAATGGTATATTTTATTTCCTATTTTGCTGCTCTCATTAACTACTAGAGATCTTTAGTCAGAGACTAGTTTAAGCCTAGAGATAGGGGTAAGTCTCCAGAACCACTCAAATTTCACCTTCAATGACAGAATTACTGCTACCAATCCAATCTAGCCAGCCTTCAGCTCTTTAAACATCTTAGTGAATGATGAAGAACAAAAAATCAGATCTGCATCTGCATCTGAACAATTTATATAAATATAATATATAATATGATACATAACAATCGGTATTAATTATATATATATATATATACATTTTTACTTGAAAACCCAACATTTTTTTTAAAAATCAAAGAAAAACATTACCTCGTCATACCCGACTTCAACACAAAATAATGCCATAGTGCATAATATTGCTTCCATATGTTCAAATTGCGAATCATTTTCAGGCACCAAACAAACACTCCTCAATCAGTTCTTTTTAAGTGACAAAAAACTTATATGTATAAAAAATGAAATAAAGTGTGCATTAGATGGCATCATTAGACAGTTTTTGAATTTGGCAATTTTAGGCAGAAAATGATTAAAAACCGTAAAAATTATACTTGTACAGCATATTGACAATCAAATGGATGTGTTTGCGCATAAACATTTGATCGGGTCGAGAACACTTTTCAACCGTCAACTGTAAATCCGAAACATCTAAGACATATGGTAGATGTTGGAGCACAGAGAGATTATCATGTCTAAATTAAAAATTAGTTCAAATTAACAAATAAAATTAAAGAATGACACTGAAGGCAATAAAATTTAAAAAAATATTAAATAATAATCAAACAACAAACTTTTGAAGCAATTATAAATTACCTGTCCAAAAGCGTTTGAAAAATACGATGTGTATCAAGTCTGACATTAGGATCAGCTGAAAGCGCTAATTGAACCATCGTAATTAAGAAAGAATCTGTGAAAACAGTTGCTAAATAAGATGTTTTATATTTCGTTGCAACCTGAAATTATCACGCTTATATTACTTATAGTTAAACATATTATTCGAGTATTTCCAAATTAATTTGATTGAATAAGAGAGCAATACCCTTAATATGGTTTTGACAAGCACATTTTGTAAGAAGGCATCACCAGGATTAAGCGCTTGGCCATCATCTGATAGTTTTGGTATATTTCCAACCGTAAACATCATTATTTCAACCTATAAAATGTTTAACTAAGTAAAAAAATTTGACAAAAACAGCTTGAATCAAAAATATTAGGACAACATTCCACCTTCTGATAATCAGGAAGAGCATTTGCATAATCGCCCATTGTATTTATAAGTGTTTCCTGATAAATTTTTTCTTCTTCAATGGACGGACAACACTCTGTTTGTTGAAATTCGACAGACTGACGAAGTTGCTTCAATAATGAATTAAAAATACCTAAATAAGAACATTCATTTTATTATGTAAGTTCAAACAACGACTTTTACAATAAATTATGAAAACACAAACCAAGCAAAGATGGCCCAATGCTAGAACCAGCAATAGAGACTATACTTGATAAAACAGTAGCGATTCCAATGCGAACTGAAGCGTTCGAGTTTGACATATTTTCAAGATGATGTATTAGAGCCTGAAATTATAAAATGATTAATTCAATTTTTCGAACTTCAAGACTTCCGAGTCAATATTTTTGTCAGTTATCATAAAAAATAATCAAAAAAATTAGCCAAGTGCAAAAAATTTTTTAATTCAAATATCTTCAGGCCAATTTTTATATTTCCTTATTTGCATTTTCCATGAAAGAGATCCGCAAATGACAACAAACCTGAATAACGAAACAAGGATCTTTAACGCTATACATAATTGCTCTGAACGTCTGCACTGCAAAAATGGGTGGAGGGTTCCACTTTTCATGCAAATCACAATGTTTCAGAACGGGTTCCAGAACAGAATTTAATCCAAAAGGTGCTTTAGCCATTAACTCTCTATGAAATGATACGTTAAATCCCATCACATGCATTAAAATAAATTCAATGAATTTATAAAATTATAAATTTATATTTTAAAAAAATTTGCTGAACTGATAGCAAAAAAATCTAGAAATATATATTAATCTTTAATAGTGCAGCATTTCTAAGAACACTTCATCAAAAAGATTTGATAGAACTAGATGGACTGGCAGAAAACATCATCTTTATCTCCAATAAATTTTTATTAAATCGAGCCTCTGTCGGAGCTCTCAGTTAACATACGACTCATACAACATGCATATTTAATCTAAGAACATTTACTAAAATATTTTATAAATGATGTAAAGCACCTCAAAAATTGGTCCGCTAATGTTTTTGGACTATCAGCAATTCCATCAACAGCATATGGTTGATCAAGAAAAACGATGCCTGTCGAGGTATCAATCTCATTACCATCAATATCATCTGCAGAAAATAATTAATATATAATGTTTGATATGATTAGCATTAATTTTAACATGAATTTTTAAAAATATCAAAGGAAAATAAATGAAAACAACCATCATCTTGCAGATTAAATAATATTGATGGGATGATTTTTTCCATATGTTGTCGTTCCCAAATACTTGTTTGCAATGGATCGCTTGCAGATTTCCATAAAACACCTTTAAAAAAACAAAAAATAAAAGTATTTAAGCGGCTGGTGTTAATAAAGGAGCGATAGCTAAATGGATGTTGATTACCATATTAAAAAGAATGGATTCGACTCCTATCTCAAAAAGAGATGGCCATTCTCCTTCATGCAAAAATTCTTACATTGCTAATGGCAGCTTGCAGAGCAAATCCAACCAGAAATAGTGAATATTTGCTTAATCGATGCCAAGAATACCTCTTAATCCTCTTAGACCAGCATATCGAACTGTTTTTGCATTTTCTCCTTGATTTGAATGGCACATCGCTGCAAACTTTGAAATGAAAAAATCGTATTCTCGATGATATGCGGGTGTATTTTCTTCAATATTCGCAAAATTAACAAATGAATCTGTCGCTCTCTTCTGCAAAAAGTAATTTTCTTTCAAGTTCTATGGAAACAAAGAAATTTTTTAACCTCCATCTGAAGATTATTCGTTTCCAAAAGTTTTTGCAACATTTTGAGGAAACTCTCAATAAACTGACTGAGACTTGAAAGATTATGACAACTTTGAAGTAACTGATCCATTGCTTCAACTGATATCTACAAAAAAAATATTTTAACTTCAACGATAACTTTAACGATTAGCAAATGCTAATGCTAAAAAAAGTAGTGTATTAGATTGATGGTGAGACACTCGTGAGGACCCATCCCGACTCCTATACCCAAGTGAAGTGACTTTAGTGAGTACGTCTAATCTTGGCACTAAGAAAAGAAGACCAAACCAGAAGTGGAAAATCCAGAAAAATATGCAAGTCACACCTTAACTTGATTATAACGTTGCCGAGATAAATCTCGAGACATTCGTAAAACGATATATTCGGCAATTCGACCTAACTTCTCGGGTTGCGAAATCGCGTAAAATGTTAACTTTTGCATATTCGAATTAATTAATCCATCCAACTGATTTCTAAATTCTTATAAGTTATTTCAAATTTTTATAAATAAATAAATAAAATTTAAAAAATTACTAAAAGTTTCCATTTTTAAATTAAGAAATTCTTTTCGAAAAAAATGGATTCAAATAAATAAATAAATCAAATAAAAATAAAAAAATGGATATAAATGGATTCACAAAACCTATCTTCAAAATGGAAAAAATGAACCGTGGATAAATCGCATCCACGAGTCGTCGATACCTCGGTTTACACGGTCTACAACATAATATTTCAGCCATTTTTTTTTAGCATTTATTCAATCATCTCAATCAAATTCGCCTGCAAAATTCAAACATAAATATTACTGTGAACCTGTCCTCAGGTGCCAAATATGACTCTGACCTCAGGCAAAAAGCTTGTGGTAATATTGCATCATTATAGTTCCACGTTAATGCCAACAGTACCTCTACATTCTTATTATCAACCTCAACGTGACCAACGCCAAGATGATTAAAAACGATTTGGTTATTGCAGCCCCAACTCAAAGACGGCCCGGCAGAAATACAAATGTGGTCGGTAATTAAAGAATTTACGGCCCTAGCGTCCATCTTATGTTTGTGTGTTAGTTTGTAAAAATTTAAGATGAAAATGAAAAATGAGAGGAACAGAAGGTGTATTTTCGTTAACAACAATGTTAAAATAGAATTTTTAGATAATGAAAATAAATTATTTCTAACAGAAAACCCGTGACCTCTGACCTCTGATACTTCACAAAAGTATGTTAAATGAATGGACGGACCACACAATTTTATAAATTTATTTAAAAAATTGAAATCTTTTATTGTAATTTGATGAACGAAACAAAAAGCAAAAACATGAAAATTATGTAAACAAAATCCAGTTTTATGAAAAAAAAAGTTTTCTGATAAAATTTTAAGTAAATTAAGAATTTAAGAATTTTTGAAGGATTTGCTAACTTAAAACATTTTTTATTTAATTAAAACATCCACTTTTATTTAATTTTCACTAATAAATTTAATTATTTCAAGAATAAAATTCTTTTCCTTAAATCGTATAAAATTTTTCCTTCCACCAAAAAACATTTATTTCATTCCTTACCTTTGACCTTTGACCTTTTGACCCCATCCTGACCTTTTGTTTTATTCTCTCTAACTAAAAGCATAGCGAATGAAATAATACGAAATCTTCGTTTTCTAAAATTTTATCAATATAAATCAATAAGTAAGAGCGTTGTGACGTTTTAACTCAACGAATTCTCGTCGATAAATTTCCTCAATTCCATTTCATTCATTCGTTTCTATTTTTATTAGTAAAAAATATAATTTGTTTTCTTTAAACTTATTTATAAAGCGAATTTTAGCGATTTAATAGCCTAAAATTAGGCTTATTTATTGCTAATAAGGCGAGAGCGGTTCCTCGCGCCGATTTGTCTCCTTAGCCGACTCTCATCCACCGTTCGTCACCCACAAAAGAGCGAATCCGCCTCTGTCAAATGCTGGCTGTGCCGCGGTACTCGTCTCTGCCTCCCTCAGGCAAAATCGCTTCGTCCTTCTACTATTAATAATCGCCACTGAAGCGAGTCTAATCACAAATGCTAAGCAATTAGAACTCTAAACAAATAAGAAATGATTTTTTTTAAAATTTAAAAAATTTAATATACTAAATTTAAATTTAATAAGAAAGGAAAAAAAGTTTTTTGGAAAAAATTTTTTAAAATTTTAAAAATTATTAAAAGGATTTCCGATATTTTTTCATATCAAAAGTATATTTTTTACGAAATTATTTTGAAAATTTTTTATTTTTTTTATTATTATTATTTTTATTATTTTTATTGTTATTATTTTATTATTATTATTTATTAATTATTATTTTTTTAAAATTACTTTTTAAAATTATTTTTATTTTTAAATCATTTTTAAATCTCATTTATTTCCATTTTTATATTTATTTTAATATTTTAACGTTTTTTAAAAATTGTATTTAACAAAAGTATTCAATATTTTATATAATTCAATTGAGTTAACTGAGATTTTCAACTAATTTTTCTCGTCACTGAATTATTATTAACCAAAAATTTCGCTGATTGTCCCCTCATTACCTATTGACCTTCTAAGGACCTATTGACCTCGATCAACGTTTATGAATTTTTGCATTTGTCTCCCTTCTTTATTGCAAAATACTGAAATTGACCTATTGCCTTATCATTTATCATTTTTGTCAGTTATTTCTCGCGGATCTACCAATTCATTTAAAAGCGTCTTTGACCGATCTGCATGGTCGAGTGGTTGTTGCCTTAGATTATCTTAGTTTCTAATTTCAGAAATTCACGTTCTGTTTCCGGAAACAATTAGAAATGAACAATTTTTTTAAAGAGTCCTCACCATTACTGGTTAAATTCGCTCCGGCTTGGAGCACTGAGCAATATGCCAGGGAATCCCTTGGCGATAGAAGTACAGGTGAGTCGCCAGCATCACCCGGATTTTTGGACAAGTTTACTCCTGCGGGGAATCGAGCCTCAGGAATAAACAGTTAGGCGTCTTTAAAAAATCCGGGTGACCCTAGTGAGAGCCTCGCTTATACTGCAATCGCCAACTAATTTCCACTTTTATCTTTTAATAAAAATTGAAAAATAATTTTTCAGCGATTAAACAATAATGGATTCATGAATTCGAATAATTTAAATTCTCAAAAGAAAATTCAAAATTTAGCTAAAAATTTTGGAAAATTTAATTCAGCAGAATTAAATATTGTCCAACAACGTATTCAGCAATTCAATAAAAAGTAAGTTTTCTTTGCAAAATTTTTGTTTAAATTTTTTTAAGATTATTTTTAATGTTTTAAAACCTTAAGAAAAAAATTTAACAATGATTAATCACAAGACCAATAAGAAGTGATAAAGTGATAAGAATAAACTAATTAAGCTATAAGAGTAACTGATTAACAAGAATAAATTAGATTTCCATGAGAGAATTAAATGGAATCCGTGGAATAAACCTTTTTTCCAGCTGATTACTTTCTTGCTAAACAAAGTTTTTTTTAATAGTCAGCCAAACCAAAAAAACGCTCTTAAATCGAAATTAGAATGGAAGAATGATAAAAAATAAAATATCAACAAATTATCAACAAATTTCAAATGAATTTTGATAATTTAGTTGAATAAAAATTATAAAATCATTTCGAAAATTAAGAATAAAAATTTTTTTTATAAAATGGAATAAATTTATAAACAAATCGAAAATTTTCAGTGAATCCAACAAATACCTTTTCAAAAAACAATCGAAATTTGATGAAATTTATCAGAAGAAAATTTTTTTTAAGGAAAAAAAGGTTTTTTTTATTTTGAAAAATGTTTAGGAATTATTTTTGTCGCTTATTTCCAAAGAAAAAACTTATTGCAATATAATTAGATTCTTTTAATATTAATAGTAATAATATTTTATTTACATAAAAAATATATTTGCACAAAATTCACAAAATATTTTTAAAAAATTCATCCGCTATGGTGATCATAATCCTCATCCTCCTCATCCTCGGGTCCTGTACCAGAGGCGTGCGAGATTGAGGGTTCTGTAGTATTTTAGCTGTTCCTAGTAATGCGCCCTTCTATATAGAGATCTCTGATGTTTATGGAATCTGCTGAAGTGCTTTTCTAATTTGAAGGTGTGCTCCAGTTATCACTGGAATTACTTTAATTTTTACATTCCACATCTTTAGTTTCTTTTTCTTGGTATTTCTCTAACTTTCCATATTCTTATATTCCTTCTTTCTGACTTCTTTTCACTTGGCATTGGTATATCTCTTACCAATATCAGCTGTCTCAGCCGTCCATCGATGCTGCAATCCATGGAGGGTTTTGCTTTTCTGTGGTATCTCCGCTTGATCATTTTCCAATATCTATACATTCTTCAGACATTTTCTCGTAACTCATCCTTTGATGTCTTGCTTAAGTATTTCTAAATGCTTCGGGTTTCGTTCAAATGACCCCACTTGCCTTCTTTCCGGCTGGTGTGCAGCTTTGAGTGTTAGACTTGAGGTGCAGAAGGTTGTGAGAAGATTCCTTGGTCTTTACATCAGCAGGTCTTCTGGCAGAATGAACATATTTATGGCACGGATTTTGATATCATATATAAATAAATATATATGCCATGTTTGCATTTAGAAAAGAAATTCATAAAATAAATAATTACATTTTAAACGATAATAAAGATAATTTAAAGATAATCCGTATACCCTTTTCATAATCGCTGTTTGGATTAACTCTCCGATTATCTAACTTCTTTAATATTAATTTCTTTACTGTATTAATTTCTTTACTATTATTATTAATAATTCCAACATATGCATTTTTTCGCTTATTTCGAAGAAATAAAAGAAATAATTCAATTTGCACTTAAATCAATAAAAAATAATTTAAATAACAATTAATTTTAAATATAATTTGAAAATAAATCAACCAAATAACGTAAAAAACGGAAAGAAAATGTAAAACTTTGTAGAAATTTATGAAAAAAAAAGTGCAAATTATAATTAACTTTCGATATATTGATGCGTTGATATATCTGCACTGATAACAGATAAAATAAAAAAAATGATAAAAAATAAAATTTAGTCAAAGAGTGAAACTAATTTAACAATAGCTAACAACAATGAATTGGCAAAAGTCTCTAAAAGTAATGAAAATTTATCGTTTTCCAAATCGACAACGTTATCACATTATATGTAAGTTTTAAGTTTGGTTTTTTCTTTTTTGTCTGTCCTTTTAATTTCATAAATAAATAAAACAAAAATTTGTGAAAAATGGAAATTTATAAAAACTATGTAAAATCAAGAAAGTAAGTGGGTTTAGTTGCTTTAGCTAGTTTCGCTGGTTGTTAGCACGGTTAGCCAGGGGTTCAATTGACGGTAGAACTACAAATGGACCACCAGTACCACTCGGATTTCTTTATTGCAGGTTATTGATAGGTTGCAGAATCTGAACGCGACAATTATGATTTAAAATGTATCGAGCATTGAGCATTAAAATTAAAAAATGAATATTAAAATTATAAATCTTATAAATCTTTCTTATAAATCTTATAAATCTTAATTTTGATGAATTTTTCTTTTTTTGCGTTTTCTTTTTTTCTCTTTTCTTTTTCTTAATTTTTAATTTTATTTATTTTTTAAAATTTGAGATACTTCAAATTAAATAGTTTATGAAAAAAATAAAATTTCCATGTATTAAAACTTTGATTTAAAACTTTGATTTATTTGATTTAAAAAAAATAAAAGAATTAGA